ACACCGCCCACGATAATCCCCGCCACGCACCCCACCCCGCTTTCCCGCAAACCACACCATCCTACGACACTCCCTCCCACAAACTCCAATCTTTTCATACCATCATTCCCCACCACACTTTCCAATCGTTTTCCCGTAAATTCCCATGACCTACCTCGGGCGACTGCAGACCGCCCACGATACTCTCCGTCCCATCACTTCACACCATCTCGCGAGACTCCCCAAACTACTTTCCCGCAAACTCCAACAACCTCACCACATCCCACGTTCCCCGCGACCCAACCCCGGATCACTTGCCCGCAAGCCCCCAGAACCTCAAACCATCGCACAACGTTCCCCACGACTCCCACCAACTCCCGTGACCTTCCCCACGACCCACCTCAAACCTCTTTTCCGCAAATTACAACGCCTCACACCATCCGATACTCCCCGCAACACATTCCAAGACGCTTTACCGCAAACTCCCGTGGCCTCAAACCGTCGCACTCCCCGTGACTCCCTCAATATCCCGTGGCCTCACCTCGTCCCGTGACATTCCCCTCAACATAACCCAAACCACGCTCCCACCATCCCGCGACACGCCCCAAATCGCTTTCCCGTAAACTCCCGTGACCTGCGACATTCTCCGCGAAGCACAGCAAACCACTCTCTCGCAAGCTCCCGTGACCTCGCGCCGTCCCGCGATAATCTCCACGCCACTTTCCCGCAAGCCCTGGTGCCCTACAGTATTCCCCGCGACGCGCCCCAAACCGCTTTCTCGCCAACTCCCGTGGCCTGAAACCATCGCACGACACCCCCGAAATACTCTCCAAAACGTTTTCCTGCAAATTGTAGCGAGCGCACCGACCCCGCGTCCCAAGTGAACGCTTGCAGACGCTTCGTGGACGCAAAAACGCACGATACAAAATTATCGGCCCTATCCCTGGAACCACATTTTAAACCGAGAACCTTCGACACCGCATGCGGCGAAATTATATGTATACATGTATATATAAACTTACTATGAGAACTCAGTCAGTAGCTATAGTAATTCAAATAAAATGAACGTGTATATATACATATATGTATGACTTAATTTCTAATCACTCATACAGATACAAGTCTAGATAATTACACATATATATATATATATACATATGCAGATTTCTTGTGTTACAGCATGACGTAGTATTATCAAACTCAGGTTTATGCCTCTCACTATACTCTTTCAGGACTTTTCGGTACAGAGGTAGTACCGTAGGTGCAGGCCTGAGGCCAGGTAGGAGGCGAGTCCACTGGACAGAACAGTGCACTAAGTTGCTTTGGTATTGGCTGTTAAAGTCCTCAAGACCCCCTCCTACTCCCAGCCCTGCCTTCTCACAGAACAGCTGTAGACCGCCAATTTTGGAGTACCCTAGTGAGGTTGCCAACGTGCAGTACACTCCTAGAAGCACACTCTTACTCAATCTTATCACAGTCTTGAGTACGCGCGGAGTTGCTACTGAGCGAGTTGCATAGGGCCGCCCAAAAATACACATTCTTCATTTCATTATTCGGTTCAAACCCAGATATATAGATGTGCACACTAGTATTTTCCGAAACTGTTCTTGCAGCCTGCAGCTATCACAAAAACAATTTGCCAAGAAAGCTGCGGTTTTTGCTGATTGAGGCCCATCTTGCACGTCACGAAGGATTTGGGCCATCTCCTGGCAGACATATGGCTGAAACTTTATGGCCGAGTCCGCAGCGTGTCGTTAAAGATCAAATCAGCCAAAACCCAGCTTAGCAAAACTATGGACATCGAGAGCGCTAACATCTAGTGGGGCTTTGGCTTTCCGTTAGACTGCCTTCGAAAGGAATAAAGACAGGATGTATCTCTGAACGAATTGCAAACTCGGGCCTTGTATTCCTCCAGTAAGGCGGGCACATTGCCGACTTTCAAGAGCCGGGCTGACTGTACTCCCTGCGCACAGGCACTGAAGAATCACTAGATGATCGGGTCTGGCTGCAGGTCGTTGCGTCCTTTGCGGTCCGTGTTTTGTCTGTATAGGGCCTGGGAGGAATTCAGATCTTTCCAGACGGTCAAACGTTGTGGTGTGAACACGCCCGGCCAAACTGAGAGCCATGAGAACACCTGACTCCAAACACAACATTGAAAACCGGAAGCTCGCTTGCAAGAACAGCTGCATCTTCCCCCCGCTGCGACAGGTCTTTCAAATTCCTGGAACTTACTATGCTGAGGAAGTCGGGCATACATCACGGCAGTGCTTCTTGCTTCATCTCTCCAACTGTAGAAGCTCACATGTCTGCAATGGAAAACCGCTGCCGGAAAGACTTCCCCACAAAGCCCTCTAGCTAAAAACACCGCGCAGCTCAATCGCACACCTCAAAGCTCAAGGCGACAGAAGCAAATCCTTGGCAGCTTGAGGACGAAATCAGAAAAAGGCTCATCAGTGCTAGGCTCCAGGGATGCTGCCAGGGAGCCTGATGATCAGCAGGACTTACACCATTACAAACACTACAGTTCTTATGTTCACTATACTCGTCATTCCTGTCCTTCTGCTTCTCACTCCCATTTTCTTTCTCCTTCTTCTTCTTCTTACTACTACTACTACTACTACTACTAGTAAACGTCGACGGTGGCGAGTGTCCTCACTTAAAATGTGCAGAACCCCCGACTCCTGGCGGTTGCGCATCAGGTCTTAACCAGATGTTTTGGGTCAGGGTTTTGGGTTACACAGATCGGGCTCACTGTGACAACTGGAACCCTGCTACCTCGACTCGAAACACTCACCTCCGATCTTGCAAAACAGCCAGCAACACTCAGACAACATGAATGGTGGGCAACCGTCTTGGACCGAGCTCTGCACGCTCTGCCAAACTTTTCTTGGCATCCTCGGTGAGCTCTGCGCCCTGTGAGGTGCCAGAAGCAGCTCCCGCAAGTTTTTGCCCGCAACCGTGAGTTGGCTCCGGGAAGTGCAGGAATCGAACAGACAAGCACTGCAGAATGTGATCAGTCTCGATTGAAAGCTTCAAGTTTGTAGCCACCACGCCTTTTCGGCTGCAGTGGCTGCTTCCTGTGGGGTTGATGTGCCATTCGCCGCATAGCCTTTGGCGGCAAGGGACCTCGAGATGGTGGAAACGAAGCCGAGCACTGTGGTGCGGCAGGTATAGTTTGAGTTCCGGCGTTCAGGAAGAGATGCACCAACTTCAAGCTCCAGCCTGCCTTGTCCAACTTCGCAACCTCCCTTCAGCAGAAGCCCAATAAGTTGCACATATGTGATATGTATGCACGCAGTCGGACGGCCCCATCGACACTTGCGATTACACACCGGATGAACAGCCATATACAACGATGGATCTCCTGACGGTTTCCGAGTCCCGTGGCTCACCGCATAACTGGTTGAACTCTTCCTCTGAGACGTCCAGAACCTGCACAAGGGGCCGACGACTTGGCCATGCTCGGACAACGAAACTGAGCTGCTCTGGGCTTGGGGCTTTCACTGGGAGGCCAACGCCAGGCATCTGCTACGCAAGAGCCTCTCGGCTCTGTGACTCCCATCAATACCAAGCAAGCCGCTTCACGAAGCTGCTTAACACAAGGTCGATGAGCAACTCGCGCCGGTTGTGATGGTAGTGGTCAGGAGCTGTTCAAACCTACTGGGCGCTGGCCTTGTGTCCGGCATCCTTGATGAAGGCCACAGCTGACCTCAAGTCGCAAAGCTATGTTTATGGTACTAGCAGCAGCTGCAAGGCGAAAAGGCGCATCATGCCAATGCATGCCACACTGGCGAAGATCTCTTGGATCCATGCTGCACTGCTGTGAGAAAATACGCGTCCTGGCGTTCTGAAAGTCAAAATCTACAGCTCTCAACGCTGCACCACTTCATAGCTCACTTTCAGGCTGGCTCCGTAATCCGCAGCACCCAGAAACGAGAGCCAAGGTCATTTCACAGTCTTGTCTGGTGAGTTGAAACTTCAGTTCAAAGACCGGTGCGGCTCGCCTCTGCGACAAGTCGGGAAGGATGCCTTCGGACGGAAACTCTCAGGCGGGCAGAAAGGAGTCGCGTGGCTTGTTGGTCGTTGGTTGTTCCACACCCCAGCCGCATTCATCACATAATGTGTTCAGAACCAACGCCGTAGACTCCGATGCCGAAACAAGGCCACAATCAAGACAAGTGGATCTTTGTTCCCTGCTTTAGAGGAGAGCATTACAACCATACGATTTGCAGGCTTTGCGCCTTGTGCATCTCTGCGCTTTGCAGGGCAGATGTACGGTGCAATGACAAGCAGTGGTCCCATGGCACAGCCAACCATTGCACAGGGTCGGGCAACGGAAGCCCCAATCTGAATCGGTACCCTCAGGGCATTCGTCATATCTTGTGACACATCAGGCCTGAAAGCTGCCACGAACTCGATATTCGAATGGAGACGTGGAGGATTGGCCTTAGAGTTGGCTGACTTCTCTTTTTCGTGGAGGGCATGGAATTCTGATCAGCAGACTATGGTTGCTTGGAAGTTGATCACGGGATGTTGGTTAATGCAGATTTCGCATGCTGGTGACTCTGACCATGATGGGAGTCCTTCTGAAAACTCTTGCTGTAACAGGGGCCGACCAGTACTTCAATGGCCTCTTTCATCATGGCACCGGAGTTGGTAGCATGTCGGCAAGTCACACAAGACCCGGTACAAGTAGCTTTCAGGACCTTCGGGGCAAAGGGGTACAAGCTTGTAGTAGTAAGTAGTGCTTCCGAGGATTTTCTCCGGCTCGCAGCAAGATGCCCGAGCTTTAGCGGTTATTGTGTAGAGCATCAGCCAATAAGCTCCGACAGCACAGTGGATCGTCAGCTCTTCTATCAATGCAAACCTACTGCAAGAACCGCATCACAACAAACAAACGCTTTCCAACTGCGTGGACTTGACTTCCGCGGCTTTCGCTTTCGGGTTCGGTGGAGCGTCGGGAAACCCAGGCCTAGGAGCTAAGTTGCTTCCTAAGGCGAGGCGCCAAAATCAGGGAGTAGATCAGCAAGGGCAGGAAGTCATCAGCTGAAAGCGGCCGGCTGGCACCGCCTCGGAAGCTTCAAGGCGCATTCTGGAAGCTCTGTCGCTTTCTGGAGAAGCAACTTTCCCGGTCCCGTCCGAACTTGTGCGCTGCACTGAGGTCTGAACTTGCCACAATAGCACGCTTCAGCACGTCGTTGATCTTGGATTGCAGGAAGAGCGAAAGAAAGACCGTGTGCAACCTAAAGGACCTCAAGGCCCACGCCACGCGGCAGGAATTCCCGATGCAAACCATCTTGTCCCGTGGCGCCTGCACGAAGAAAAGCTTCACGAACCGCTGGGTATCCCTTCGACTGAGATTTAGTCTGCATGCCTTGAACTTGTCCATACTGTGCAGCTGCTCCACTGCCAGGTGTAAGAGGGAAGTGTCCACCTTGGACTGCTTCAGTCTCTACGCATCGTGCAGGTGAGACGGTTTGCCTTGTGCTGCAACTGTGACACGGTGCAAAGCAAGTTTGACGCCTGGACATCTTGGGAGCCACACCGGTGGAACGCCCAGGTTGTCAAAGCCCACCCAACCTCTGTGGCGTTGAAGCTGAAAACAGTGGTGCTGAACATGTCAGATTCTGGGCAGAAGCTCTGTGGCCGCAGCTAAAGCTGTCAATCCTCTGCCTCAACGTCTCGTCCTGTTTTGCTCGGGTTGTGGCGGGAAATGGGTGCTGGTTGCATGCTTGGCTGATCCTCTTGGCTATGCCCAGGCCAATGATACTGGATATGTGACATGTGACAAATGCTCCCGTCCTCCGTCAGGTCCGATGGCTCCATGGCGAAAAGGCGGGCATGTAATCTGCTCAGCAGGAACCTGGGCACATGGCAGCGGCTTGCTCTTCGACAGCGACCTAGCATCTCAGCCTGAGGAATCTGTCCTGCTGCAATTCCAGCGCACGGCTGTCGGCTGTTTGGTCTGACAAGTCGTATTTTTGCCATGAAGAGTGGTGTCATCTTGAATTGTACTGCGGCGATCTGAAGCCTCGCAGAAGCTGCGCCAAAATGCTTGAGACCTCCGCAACGCCTGCTAAGGCTGAGATCAAAGCGTGTCTATGTGTCCCAGCCAAGGTACCCTCAAACCTGGTGCAGAGCTTTCTGTGGCCACGGCTTCTCCAGCCCTTCAGCGGCATTTGTCTGTCCGGCCTTGCCAAAGTAGCTCTTGACCCCGAAACTTTGGAGATCAACTTCTGCGCAATTCGAGGTGTGAGCGTGACATGTCTCGCGACAAATGTCACGCAACAGCCGAGCCACCCCCGACCCTGCAGCTGCTCTAAGGGAACAGACCGAGACTCTTGAAACCTCTCAGCCAATCTCCACCATGTGCAACGCTCGGGCTTCTATTTCAAGAGCTCTTTGATATGATGATGGATGATTCTGATGATTCTGATTTCGACAACGACTCTGCTTGCTCATGTCATGCCGTAAACTCTGAAACTCAAGCAGCTGCGCCTCATCTGCCTCAGCCGCGAAAACAAGCACCTGCGACAGCATCCAATCCTGCGGGCGAGGTCGGAAGGATGTGCAAACTGAGGGAGTTCGTGGCGCTGCATGGAGCATGCAGTATTCACACCTTCCGGCTTGGCAAATACATCAGAAGGGCGACAGGCAGGACCTCAAGGAGAGACTGACGAACACCCGGGCTATCCATCGGCCAATACGAAGTTCCACGAAGGTCACAGGAGGTTGTATGAAAGCGGACAAGGGGGTTCGACACAGGCCAAATGTTCGACACATGCCGGGGGCGCTTCGACGGCCTTCACCGGATACTCCGCGCCGGATACTCCGCGAGGTTCCGCTGCACATGCCATACGTTGAATTCAACTATGCAAAGCGCAAAAGTCCACAGACAGGTGCAAGCGACCTTCATGTCGGTGAAGCATACCGACAGAAACGATTAGTTCCAGTCCAGAAGTCAACGAAACAGTGTCAGCGGTCCAGACCCGCCGAAACACGACAAATGTCACAGTCCACTGCTGCTTGCCAGCAGCTGCAGCACACCACTGATAATGAAGCATATCGTCCTGGGTCGCAGAGAGGAACTTGTGAATGCGATCAGCAGCTTGCTCCCGGGACAAGCCTGAGAGCCAAAGTTCTCTTCAAATAGAGTTTCGATCGAACAGCAAAGACATTCCCACCATTGGTATGACAAACACATCATCCTGCATACAGTATGTCTTGCCATGTCTACGTTTTGGCTCAATCATGTCAGTTGCAGTTGAGCCTTCGGTTCGGGCCGGCAAAATCAGCCTTCATCCCCTTTTCCTGCTACCGCAGCTGCCATTCTTAGAACTACTGTATTGCACGCACAACAACTACAACAAGCGCAAGAGCAATCACAACAGAAGTATCGTCACCACCGCCACCATCACCATCACCACCAGTACTGCTACTACTACTACTACTACTACTACCACTACCACAAGCATCTCGGCTGAGGGCCCGAAGGCCAGCCCTACAAATAGGAGAGACCGCGGAAGCCATTGCAGAGAAGCGCGGCGCAGCGCTACTGCAGAGAGTCAGCCGTGATCTAGGAAAAATCAAGAATTTCCGGCGTCAAGACTCTATCTGCAACTCTGGAACCACGACTCTGAAGCTGATCAGACTTCAGATGTGCAAGCTTTTGCTGCTACTTATCACATGGCAGACTGGCTCCGCAACCAATTACCTGAAAACACCGATCTCGACCTGGATCCTTGGATACCGAACAACAACAAGATTACTGTCAGTGAGGATCTCACATACGCCAGGGCAGTACTTGCTCGACCTCGACAAAGGATACAGATCCTGTCAGCTATTGGCGAACTCATGCTCGAAAGCTCCTGGCCGCATGGAGGATACATCGGAAACCTGGGTTTCTTCAATAGCTGGGACATGGAATGGACATCAGACTGCCACCCGGCAAGGGCGCTGCAAGCTGCTAGAAACTCCCCCTTTCCGCCCAATGAATGTAAGCTCTACAGGTGGGTTCGACTATACTTCCCCTGCCTATTATCTTCATTCTGGCCACAGGGAGCGCCGACATTGCTCGAGTTGGATCTCAACGGAATGGACTAGTAGACCGGAAACCAGGCACATAGGCAGCTCCTATTGTCTGGGGCGCACAAGTCGGAGATGGAGGTTCCGGAGAGCTCCAAGTCGCCCGAGGCACCACCGACGCAGACGAGCCAAGGGCAAAGTTCAGTTCATGACACACAGGATCCATCAGATGGCACGACTTGGCTACGAGATTGTCTTCAGCATGCTTGATCAGTGCCCTCTGCATGTGTTTGCAAGCTCTCTTGTCAGTTTGACGATGCAGTATGTATCAGGGATGCACTTTGTGTTGCAATCTAGATGTGCCCAGTGGACTGAGAAATCTGAAGATCTGGCTCGAAGCCGAGCCAATCCAGACGGTGATTGCACCGGCAGCACAACCCGCGAACCAACGGTCAAGCAGCAGGACACCCCGGCCGCCATGGACACTGACCGCTTTGAACTGGAAACAGAAGAAGAAGTGGCATATGATGTTAACTCCGAGGACATTGACAACGACGAGCCGACGCCGCCACCGACGGGAGCAGCAGATTTGCCGGCACCCTGCACGCCTGGTGGCACCCCGGAACCCAGGGGGCCACCACCGCCACAGGCGGTGCAGACGGTCCGTGGGATAGCCCTTAAAACTGCCTCAGCTCTGGGCCAAGCTTTCGCAGAAGATGGCACTGAGGTAGGCCAGATCTTGGTGCTGGTGCCCTTCGACTACCGCACCATGGGTGATATGCTGGTGAGGATTGAGCCGCTTCGCGGGGGCTTTCGACAGCACCCGAACATCCTCACCATGAATCCTAGCGAGCCAGATATGGATGGAGCTGAGGAAGCCGACAGCTCAGAGCTGTCAGGCGAAACCAACCTCGAGAAGCTCCACCGACTCTCGGGACAGGATGATGCCGAAGGACGCATGGCCCGCCAAATCATGGCACGCATGGACATGGAAGGACGCACCAAAATGTCCAATGAAGAAACAACCTTGATCATCTCGACCATCCCGCAATCCCACATGGCTCAGATGGATGACACGGATATCGCTGAGGAGACAGGGCACGGAGAACCGGCAGCCTCATCATCAATGGCATCGGGTACGGATACGTCCACCGGAGCCCCACGCACACCGCCCCTGAAGCCGACCTCCAAGGCCGTTGCAAATGCTCCATGGCGTCGGAAGCGCTCAGCTACGCCCAATCAGATGACGCAGATGAACAGGAAGCTTGAGCCTTATTTGATTACCTGCTGCTGCTTCATGCTAGCTTGGCCCCAATTCCTCACTCTGTGTTCCTTAGGCACCGACGCTCTGATAAGCCTGAGTAGAAACCGTCCTGCCTCTTACATAGAGACAGCACCTCTCTTCCAGAGACAAGACTTCTGGAATGCACATTCACGGCCGAGCGCGGGGCTGCTGGACAAAAGAGTATTGCCTGAGATTGTGAACCTGCAGGGTGTTGCAAACACTGCATATACACTGGATGCAAACTTCTCCCAAATGGCCAGGTACATTTCGATGATCCTCCCGGCACTGCTGGCGGGTGGCTTACAAAACCTTACCATTTCTCGAAGATACATACAGCACACAGCGAACCTGGCCAGGATCACGGCTCCTCTTCTCCTCCTATGGCTCTACAACATCTGGGAGGCAGTATTCAAATGCACACTTCGAAGTATGTCTTCGCGTAGTATCCACAAATCCAGCACACCGACGACAATGTCAGGTACCTCTCCTCTTTCAGGGCATCAACGAGACTACAGCCGCGCCGGTCCCAAGTCCGGCGGTGTTCACAGGACATGCTGCTATCACACAAAATTTATGCTAGTGATCTTCTTGGCATGTGCTAAACCAACTTTTACTGTGAGCACAGATGCGAGGGTTGACGTTCATCCCACAAGGACGTCTGAAGCCGTCATGGCGAAGCAAGTGGGATCAAGGGAGGCCATAAACCCGGTCTTACAGACAGGTATTTCCAGATGTGTAAAACGCAGCTACAAAAGAGCATATGCAAGGTCCTGCCGGGAAGGTGGAGCTTTCTATCGAGGCACTTGGCGATCGCATCAATGGTTCCAGCCGACGTCTTTTCGCACACAATCTCTGCCCAGGCTACAACCCAGGCAGCCCAAGGGACGCTCCCTGAGCACGCTCACCTGGAATGCAGGAGGCCTACATGCATCAATCTTCCGCGAACTCACCACTTACCTTGAAGACGAGGGCATTGATGTCTGTATGGTGCAGGAGACTCATTGGAACTACGATGCCAATTGGAGCACCCCGAATTTTCACTTTGTGCATTCCTCAGGACAAAACAAGGAAGACAAACACGGAGGCGTCCTGACTATCGTCTCAACCAAGGTGGCGACCACCTTAGAACTGCAGTACCATGTGCTTTGGCCGGGCCGACTACTACACGTGAGAGTGAACAAACCTCAGCCAATTGACATCCTGAATGCATATCAGTACACAGCCAATGACAACCCACTCACCCCAGCACGCAGGCACAAGTATCTACTCCGGCTTCGACACGCCCTCAGTGGTATTCCCAATCGCCACATTCTGGTTCTGGCTGGGGACCTCAACACGACATGTGTAACTACCACCAAGGTCTGTGGCAAGTGGGTACTTCCAGCCAGCGACGCACACAACAAGGACAACAATGATTTCATGTCCATCCTTATCTCCTACCACCTCACAGCTTTGAATACCTGGAACAGGCCGACACATCATCAACTGGCCACTTTCACGTTCGGCACGCTCGCGTCTCAGATTGATTACATCATCTGTAGACAGGCAGACGCCAACAACCAGGCCAAACAGGCAGCAGTCGTGCAGCACTTCCCGGTCGCAAGCTGGAGAGAAGGAGCAAACCATCATCCTGTACGGGCCCACATCAGAATACCACATCACACCAGCTCAGCTCCACCAATTCACAAGCCACCAAGGATTGACGTCAATCGCATTATCGAGGACCTCAAGGAAACCGAACCCCCGCAGGCTCTGCTCACACTCAGAGATTGTGTCGACCAAGGCATTCAAACAGAGCAATGGAGTACCCTTCCACAACTAGAAGCTGGTCTGCTCAAGGCCGCCCAGGAGCTCTACCCCAAGCGCGCCCACAATGATACGCACAAGGAGGCGGACTTGCAATTATCCCATTGCGCTCGTCGCATGTGGGCTATCTTCCGTGAGATGCGGTCACACCCCTTCAACATGCACGGCGTCTTCCAATCTTGGAGGCAATGGGCTCAGTTCTCCAAAGCACACAAAGAACACAAAAGTCGTGCCAAAGAACGTAGCAAAGCATGGAGACGTGACCTTATTTTGAAGGCCCAGCAAGCAGCCGAGAACCACAACATGTTCCAGATCTGGGAGGTGGTCAAAAGTCTAGCACCAAAGTCCAAACGTAAGAAGCTCCAACTGTACAGGAATGGACACATGATGACCCCAGAAGCTGAACTAGACTGGATCATCGAGGAGTTCGGCAACCGGTATGGAGCGCGCGCCCCAACCACTTTACCTCACATCAGACAACAGGCACCAGTACTGATTGGACCTGCAGAGGTATGGCATCAACTTGAACATCTACCGGTACGCAAGGCGGTCCCCGCTCATATGGCTCCCTCCATACTTTGGAAAGCCTGCTCTACAGAAGTCTCGCTCTTCATTTCTCAGCAGGTCTGTCAACAATGGAGTTCTCCAGTACTGCACGTACAACAAGAATGGGCCGACGCCACAGTTGCTCTCCTGCCAAAGCCCACGGGAAAGAATGATACACCCCTCAGCTGGAGGCCAATTGGACTGCAACATCCGGTGGGGAAAAGCATCATGAAGATCATCATAGCACAGGCAAAAGACCAAATCCATGCCTTAGTCAGGAAGTGGCCGCAGTGTGCTTATGTACCCAACAGGAGCACCACCACGGCTCTCAAAAGGGTCTTCAAGCACTGCGCCACGGTCCGAGCCGCATGCAATCAGAATCGTCTGAACCTCCACCAACTCAAGGCCGGAGCACAGCCCATCCGGAACTATGGAGGCCTCCAGATAAGTATGGATCTTTCAGCAGCGTTTGATCTTGTGTCTTGGACTACTATCAAGGAGGCGTTGGAGATGGCACAGATCGACCCCAGCATACAAGAAATTCTCCTCCAGTGGCTCAGCCAGGTTCGCTACACTTTTCAGCACAAAGGCATGGAGAAAGACATCTGGCCCTCCTGGGGATTGAGGCAAGGATGCATCGCGAGTCCTGTCCTGTGGGCAGCTTTTACAGCTTTACTCAGTCAAGCAATAGACAAACGCATAGAGGAAAAGTGGAGCTCGGACCACTCCACGATGTACGCCGACGACACTCACCTACAATGGACTTTTCACAGTGTTCAAGGATTCGAACAAGCTGTCCATGAATTGAACAAAGTGATTGCTGTCTTCAGGAGGTTGGGAATGAAGGTGAACACGAACAAGACCAAGGCCATACTTCGCCTCACTGGCAACATGAAGCACCACATCCGAAAACATTACATTCGCTCTCATGGACAAGAGCGTAGATTGCTTCTTTCCCCAGGTGATCCTTCGGGATGGATTCAACTGGTGGACCAGGCGGAGTACTTAGGACTGATAATTTCTTACGACAACTTTGAGCTGAAATCTGTCAAGCACAGAATCAATAAGGCCCATAACCGTCGGTGGTCCTTGGCATCGGTTCTACACACCAAGAAGGTCTCGATCCACTACAAGCTCAACCTCTGGCGTAGCTGCGTGCTATCTACTATGCTATATGCTCTTCACAGTCTGTGTCTTGGTGCAGGCCAAATCTGCTTGCTTCAACGGGCCATCATGCGACACATCAGGGCCATTATCTCGGACCAGGCCTTTCTTACAGGACACACACATGAGGACATTATGGCAAAGTATCATATCCAAACCGCGCAGGAACTTCTTGAACGGGCACATGACCGCGATCAACTCAATGCAGACTCGAGCGACTGGCTAGTTGACTCGGAGTGGAATCACTCTATTTCCAAGGCCCTGCTCGAAGCGGCCCAGAACAAGGAGCCAGAGTCAGACACTGAGAAGGCCATTTGGGCTTGCCCACTATGTTCAGAGCAATTCGTTACACAGGCAGCTCTGAAAATCCATGCCAGACGTACGCACAAAATTGTGGCGCAACGAAAGAACATCTTCAATCGCCTGACACACTCCATTGGCGGACTTCCACAGTGTGCTGGTTGCCTCAAGCGCTTCAGCAAATGGCAATCGCTTGAAACACATATAAATACTGATGCTTGCACGGCTCAGGCCACACAAGACACAGGCACTACCAGGGATCCACCAGATCCCGATGATGCTTCAGACCTGCGAGCCTCACAGTCAGCTCCCGAGATCACGTCCACTCCGAGAAAAGAGGACAATAACATGCAAGCCGAGGCAATGGAGCAGACAGCGGGCGTCCTGTGCTCTGAGACCATGATTGCACCATCGCTTGAGGGCTTGCAGCAGAACACTGGACAGCAGACAATCGACTCCGAGATCCAGCATAAGCAGAGTATTGCTGAGAATAATGGTGTTACACCAACACTGTTGTCCGATACATCTTCACAACCGACATTCTCTGCTGAGAAACAGACTACCACAGCATCTGCAGCAAATATACCTGTGCTTTTTCAGGAACGTGTGCATCTTGTTGTGCAGCGTGGACTGAATGCCTTCATTGCTGAATCAAGCCTCACAGCCTCCATGCAGCAGTCCTGTGCTCTATGCGGACAATGGATAGCATCGCAGAAGGTGGTCAAGACACACTACCAACATACACACAAATTCCTTTATCAACAACTTGCGCACAAAGCACTCAAGCTCATCGAGCAGAAAGCCACTCCGTGCCTGAAGTGTCACTTCTGCCATAAGCAGACCAAGGACTGGAAAGCTCATTTGTTCAAATGCACCACATTATGGCAGTGTGCTTTCCTATGTGTGTTACATGAGGAACATGGCCTACGGGGACCCGGACTGGGACGAATTCTTTGGCGAAGTCCAGGGGGACGACCTGCCAACGATGAATGCCTCTCCATGGAACCAGCAGCCAATGGACAACCCCTTTGCGTTCACGGGCAACAAACGAAGGAGGGATCCTTTTGGCGAACAACGACCGGTACCACAACAGAACATGAGACGGCACCCGTTCCAGGCCCCACCTCCGCGACAGCCAAACAGAGACCCATTGCTCTATACTTTAGCAAAAACGGTCTTACAGCAGCAGGAGGAGCTGAAGGTTCTCAAGCAGGACACAGCCATGGTACTATTTCTACGTCCAGGGGAGGACAGCGTGCTTCACCATCTTTACAAGGTAGCGGCACACTTCAAGGCCAAACAGGACCAGGATGCCACGTGGCAGCTAGGACAGAACCCCCTTCGTATGGTCTTAGCACTGGCACTCTTCAAGGAAGTCACGGACCGCCTGAACCAGACCATAGCTTCGCAGGAAAAGCTGAAGAGGGCAGTGGACCAAGGATGGAGAGACCCCCAAGCGGGTTGGAGATATCAAGTCTGGAACCACAAAACCAGACAACTCCAGGTCGACAGCAGTCGACCCCCAATTCCGGAGGACAAGCTCCTCGACCACTTTGCCACCATCCTCCAGTGCCTTCGACATCCTGTCGTCAACAGATTCCGCTGCATAAGACGATTAGCGGAAACGATGTCCAGCCCAGCTACCTTCAAATTAGACATGTCAGTTCGAAGTCACAGTGCTCTGACAATGTGGGATACTTTGAAGATGTTGCAGGGAAATGCAGTTTTCCAACTCGCTGGAATGGCCTACAAGACAGAAAGTCTGGCCAGAGGGCCAATGGAGCAGAAGATTGCGGAGATGATCTATGGCAGGAGGTAACTTCTGCTCAGCAGTTCGCCACCCAGATTGTCCTGCGTAACGATAGCACCATATGCTACATGAACTCCTCCTTCCAGGTCATGGTATGGCTCATGGAGAATCTACGGCTACCACGCACGCTACTCTGTGGTTCAGGCGCATCACTGTTTCACGACGTCTTTGCAAACCGCCTTCCTTCACCTCACAGGTTGGTGGATGATCCCAGGTGGCAGACTCTGCTTGATGATTGGGGTGAGGTCCATCGTCAACATGATGTGTGCGAGTTCCTATCGCACATATTGCAGAGAAATGACTTCGGTATGTTCCAAGGCATATGGCAGGCGAGATCGCCTACCATGGCAGGGGATGTGCAGCTTGTGGACACAGGGCAATGCACTCAATCCATTGTTCTTCACATGCCCTCCAAATATCCTACGAAAGCAACCAACTCACTCAGGATTCAATCCTTGGTGGACACTTGGTGCAGGGGACTTGACAGGATACATGGTCTGACAGTCGCGCCCCCGGTGATCTTCTTTCAACTTCATCGTTTTCTGCAACAGCATGATCGTGTCATTAAGAATCACCTCAAGGTGCAGCCGGACCCTGTGATCCAAATGCCTTTCTTTTCTGGGGACAGGCACAGTCTGTCACATCACACATACAAACTTCGAGCTTTCATTGACCACTATGGAGCCACGCACACTTCAGGACATTATATGGCCAACCTGGTCAACGATGAGGGCTCGTGGAGTTGTGACGATGGCAGAGCAGCCAAGGTGAAAACTGGAAGGGGTGAGCGCCATCCCACCAAAACCGGATATGCTTTCTTCTATTGTCTCGAGACTGCTCATGCCATATCTTCCACCGAAGGTTTGGCACACACTGGCGACGCACATGCTAGCATATAATGTTCTCTGGAACGGTGTGTGTCGATACCTGTCTTCTTTTGAGATGATCAACCGCATCATGAGCTTAAAGCTCCGGGCATTCGAATATGCCTGCTCTACCCGACGCTTGGCGACAGGACTCTCCTCGCTGCGAGTGAAGCTGAAGCTACCACTACCACTACCAGTACCACTACCACTACTACTACTACTACTACTACTACTACTACTACTACTACTACTGCTACTACTACTACTACTACTACTACGACTACTGCCACTGCCACTGCCACTACGACGACTTTGACAGCCTCGAGCACCAGGCCTTGAGCAGGGAACTTCTTGACAAAGTCCTCCAAACCAGACAGCACAGTGTTTCTCTCCCTCTCTCTTTCGCCAGGACTGAGGTGGGGGTGGCCCTTTCTCTCGCTCTCTCTTTCTCTGTCTACCGGCTTTCTCAGTCTCTCTTGCAGGAGTTGTGGAAGATTAGCTCGTTGCTCAAGGTGTTGGTCTTGGGACTTCGGATGTTGCCTCATTGGCTCGGGTCACCCTTTCGACGGTCTGGAATCCTATTTTGGGGTCCAATGGGCAATGTCTAGGAGTCTAGGTGTGTCTGCACTGCAGTAGTTGGGCGTGTCCTATAGACATGCATTTGCTGCTGAGAGGAATGCCTGCAGCTTTGCAACCGTTTTTCCGAAGTGCACGTCGAATCACTGCAACATCTTCTGCATGCCTGCAGCCGTGCCAACAGCGGCACCGCCGACTCATGCCTCATGGCCCGTGGAACAATGCTTCGATTCAGCACATGGGACCGACACTCTGGTACCGAGTGAGCCGGCTAATTCGGAATTTGCCGTCCTTGGGGCGAGGGCTGGTCCATGATGAGATAGACTCCAGAGCAGGTTTTGCTTGTGTCCCTTAGTAACTTCAATACTCTGCTGGACTGGTGACTTAGTGCGCGAACCAGTCTTCGCCTTGGCGACTGTTCTCGAGACAGCAGCCGTGAATTCTCAAATAGAGTCCTTTGCATATTTCTTGCCCCAAAACTTGTTATCGATTTTCTGAACGTTCGCGAAGATTTGTGCTGCCACTTCTCTGCCCGTACCTGGCGTTGGATAGTCGGCCCACCGGCTTGAAGTACGCCAAGTACGACCGTCTAGCTGTCTAGTGATGACAGAACAGGCAAGAATAGTCTTCTCGTCCACATGCCCGAAAATGGTAAGCCAAGAGCGTTCTGATCACTAGCATTCTGTTATGTGCTGTTGCGGCAGGCTTGCGGAAAATCTCGAGAAATGTGTCGGCAAAGGCCCCGAGGCCACAAGCAACTTTACCCGCCGTGGCCCGGTTTGAAGACCACCACTGCTTTCGCAATGCGAGCTTCAAGATTTCGAACTCAAGACTTAGATGTTGGAGTTTTCGGCGGGTCGTGCATCCAGAAAACACGCGTCGCGAGCCAACAATCCGTCCAGCACACCGAAACGGCAGGCCGGCAGTTGTGGAAACCAGCCGATGCTCGACTTCTTCCTGTGATACCATTGCTACGGGCATTATCTTTTCTGGATGTCAAGTCGTGCATGAAGACTTGACAGCAAAGTTCCGAGCCCTGAACCCCAAAAAACCGGGAGTCTCAGCGTCGGACTTCAACATTTCCCGGAAGATCATGTAATCGTAGCGGGGCGCGGCCGGTGGACTGGGAAGAAGGTAATTTAGTGGTTACGGGCTTCGAAACGTTAGGATCAATAACGTTAGTACAAGGCCATGTTTAGACTAACGGAAGCTTTCCATTCTTCAAGCTGCGCAAGGAACGACAGCTTCAAGCTTCACAAACAGCAACGCCTTCTCAGCTCTACTGTGCTTTGCAAACAAGTATCAACACCACCAGCCGTGAACACAAGGCACTTAGACGTGGTTGCTAAGTTTTCGAACAACGCTTCCCAAGTCTTATCGGAAAGGGTTGTCGAGAGGCCAAGCCATGAAGTCCGGAAACCTTCATCAGAATCCAGACTGCCAAACCTTGCCACCGTCCTTGAAGCCGGGAATCTGCAACCTGAAATTGGAAACCCCAGCCCCTGTGACCTCAGTCTGCGCGAACTCCGCGCCTGCCGTTTGGCTCGCCAGCCCCTTCCGGTGCGAGTGTCGTGCCTCCAAACAAAGACCCTTTTGTTGATCTACTTGTTGCTGGAGCCTATCCTCAGGAAGCATTCCGCATGGGATGGAGGTACTCCACTGACAGTAGTGTTAGATATAATGATATAATCTTCTTTCGACAAGGATAAGCGAATACGACCACCGTAGGTTTGAGGTGCAAAGAACCGTTTGAAGAAATACAAGCACCTTTGTCAAAACAGGCTGTCACAGATTCGGAGTCCTGTGACGGAAGCTGTGCTGAACACAAGTTAATGGCCTGACTCTGACTCATGCGGCTCTTCGGGCACATCCTGCCGCGGCTCATGCGCACGGATGACGCACGAAGTCCAGGCTAATATACTCTTCGTTCCTGGCTTGACAAGTGGAATACGCTTTACCGGATTGGTTCTACATGAATAGGTGCTACATTTCCAGCTTCAGCCGGGTTCAACGGTAGTTCTGTGGCTGCACAAGGCCGCGACCGACGGTGGGTCGAAACGGGATCGAACGACAGACGTGGCAGTCATAACTGGGATCGAATGTCGCGGGGCGTGGCTTCTGAGAGGCTCTGGTTGTGTTCTCTTGTGAGACGTTTGCGTGCTTGGGGAACTGGCAGGGTCGGGTGCTGTATCAACACGCTTCGAAGACTGAAGCCTGAAGGCTGCTCTGGATGATGCTGGGAGGGGCATTTCCGGAATGCTTTCTATGATTGGTGATGCGGCTCCGTATTGCGAAAGTGCGGTCGTGATGCGATCAAGTCAACATGGGCATGTCAGGTGCGGCATCACCGTTCAACTCTGAAGATCAAAAGCTTTGTCCTCTGCAGGCTTCTCTGCATCCATTGCCAACTCTTGGCCTCGATTGCAAGTATGTAGGACTTGCCGACTTGGAAGCAACTTGGGATATCTGCGTCACGCTTCGACGCCAAACCTCCCTCATGCAATGCACAAGAGGCACAGGATGAGTATGCAGGTGATCCTCTGGGCACTCGACACCCCGAGGTGTCAAGTGGCCATGGGCCTAGAGGCCTCGTCTTGCCTGATTCATCACGTGTAGTCTGAACTTTTGAACCCGACCTCACATGATTCGGGTGTTGTGGAGTTGTGAATTGACATGAAAACTTGGAAGAGTGCGTGCACGATGACGGGAAGCTCAATGTCCCAATCGCTGTGAGACTGGCTCTTGAGCCGCATCCGGGGGACAAGTCAGGAGGACAAGTCAGGAGCAGCCGAAAACTCCCGGCAGGGTAGAGGGATGGCCCCTTAAATGCACGATTGGTGTCAGTATCAGTATTGTTCTTCCCCTGGTGTTGCGAGTACATTAAGTACGTGCTTTTGTAAATGGTGCAGGTGGCCCTTCTGAACTTCTTAGGATTGTCAAGACTGGGACTGATGCTCGCGTTCCTTTCTACCTGTGCGGCTTCCACGGTCGCTGGAAGCGATCGGAGGAAGGAAGTCTGCAGCCAGAGCTTTGAAGAAGCTGTCCTGCAGCATGCGAAACCGGCAACAACGAACTTCTGTGGCATAACAGCAACAAATCCGATTGTTGTGTTCCAGCGGCTGTGAATTTTGGCCTGGGAATTACATGACTCCTTCACTGAGCCAAGTGTCTCCATCAAGTGAACTTCCAGCCCGGAGGTGCTGCCACTGTCCACACGCACAAGAAGGACTGCTTGCGACAAGTCAGTGATGCCTTGCTCAGACAGTGCTTCTTGATACCTGAGCTGTTCTCAGAACTTTTAGTGACATGTCAATGTGCGGCACACTACGGACGCTGGTAGACTCTCGACCGAGGTACCGTGCTGGCTCGACGCCACTGCTGATGGCAGTGGGCATATACTGTTGTGCAGGTGTCTTAGCCCCGTGGAAGACCCAGGCAGATGACCTTGGGCAGTCCGCGCTCCACCACGACTTCAAGCGAGTCGGAAAGTGCCGAACGTTTGGCACTTTCGACACTGCAGTCAGGCACCCGTCGGGAGCAAGATGGCAGCTAGCCAAGCGGACAGCGGCAGAAAGAACCTCTTCTCCGCAGTCCCCACCGTTTCCGAATAGAAGACTGGCGCCAGTGGCGATGTTCTTAGGGTTCGGCATAAAAGGCGGGTTCACGAGAATGGCGTCAAAGAGGCTGCTCTTGCCAAGCCCTTTGTAGCGCAGATCCTTCTGCAACAGTCCATCGCACCTCTGGGTTGGTCCAGGGGATCAAACGGTGAGGATTAGCAAGTGCTCAAGTTCCGCTGTGCCTAAGACCCAGACCAAAGACGGCCTTTAGTGAGATCTACGGCACATCACCCGTTATCACTGCTTCTGCCTGTGGTGATGTAACTGAATCCAAGTTCCAATGTTACTATATCTATCATGTTGGGCTTCCCTTACTCAGTACTGGTCAGCCCAGAAGTCCCCTGTACTACTTCACCTTTTCGCTCCTCAGGTTTTGAAACCCCAGCTCTGAAACTGTGTTGAATTGCCAGGGCTTGAGGCATTCCCATCCCACAAGCTGCAAAAGACTGGAATACTGGTATAAAACGATCTGTATGTCTCAGATTCCTCGATGCTTGTGCGTGTGGGATAATGTGCATCCGTGTGTCCACTTCACGCTATGCTGTGGCAGTCAAGAAGTGCTGCAGTTTCCTGGGTTTTGCAAACGACAACATGAGGCTGTGAAGCCTCCCCAGCAGGCCGTTCAACGCCAAGTTGAATCGGGTGAAGCCCATGGCACGGGGATTCGCATCCAGGAACACCGCCCTCGCATCGGGGCAGGCTGTTTTTGAGCTGTCGGTGGGGCCTGAGGGCACTTGCTACATAGGGCCACACGAAAAGGTCTCAGGGTGTGCTTTCACGGCTTTACAGTTGTAGAGTCTTGCCACCTCGGTTCAAAGGGCTGGCTTGCAGGGGCTGGCGTTGTCTTGACAGCAGAATCAGAAGTCGCGGCATCAGGTGCAACATGTTGCTAGCTGTTGCAACTGTTCTTCATTGCTCCTTCTTGTTGTCGCTGTTGCTACACTGGCACTGAGGAGGCCGAGCTCTGCACAGGACACAGAATTGTTGCACACTGCACTCGGTTGCTGGGGCCTAGGGTTCTGGACTCTTTGCTTGCGAAGACGGCTCAGCGAGCTTCTTACAACCGAAATGCATTCTGCAGGTGGCGCCCTTCAACATGGTCTGCCCAAAGCGCTAACATGGGAACTAGCACTCCTCTCCGATCATACCTCGAGCCCCAATAAGGCGTTCCTCGTGGCGTAGTGCTGCAGGGCAACGATTCCTTGGCTCAACAGGCTCCACTTGCTTTGTTTCAGATTCAGACAGGTTCATGAATCGTTGATACGAACCCAAAGCTGCTCCGAGACAAGCACATCCCAAAGGCAGGTACTCCAGCCTGAGCCCCTTCAATTCTCCCTTCGGAAGTCCTGAAAACCGGGAACCCCTACAGAATCTGTAAACTTACACTTGATGTAGCAGACATTCAGCTCCCCGTGTTCTGCCAAGGAGCCCTGCATACCCGAGCCACAACAAAGGTCAAGCAGCCGGCGGCAGGGCCGTCGCGGTGCGGCGGCTGCCAGAGCCAGAGAGTCCTCTCAGGCACCCATGGCCCATGGGCATTAAAGTTGTGATGCTGGAGATGGGGATTGCAAAAGGATGAACGGAACGTGATGAAGATGGACAAGAGAACCATTTTTCAAACTGAAGTTGATCCTCTGACCAGCACATGCTATCACCAACATCACCTTCAAGAATCCTCAGCGCAAAGGCACCACAGACAACATCCCGGCACATATTCCGCCATTATACTCATCCTCCTCGGCGAACCATAACCACCATGATGGTAAGGTTGCGTTGCCTGCTACCCGTATCACTGTTTCACCATATTGAGCATCTTGCATCCTCAGCATTGTCGACGTCTTGTGTGCTCAAACCACGCGTGGCCCGTGTGCCTCACATTTGTCATGACATCTCGAGCATCTGAGGCATGTCAGCAACTTTGTCATCTGGCTGTCGGCATTTCAGGCATCGGCTTAACGCCCTAATCCCAACGCCGTGAGCCTAGACTGGTAAGAGGGCAGGACCCCTCCTTTTGAGATGCCGGAATTTGAGGCACTGCTGGCGTCCTCCGAGAGGTACATGACCGGCTCGGTGTCGTCCGAGAAGCAGGTCGACTCGAAGTCAGTCGCCACGAGCAGGTCGCCCTCCACCGGCCAAATCGCGACGCTCGCGAAGACACAAGGCCCGCAAGGCTCCTGGCATCTCTTCATCTTGTCAGGTTCAGGACTGGAGGTCTGGTTCGGGGCAGCTCCATCACTACGTCTTCCCAGTACTTTGGTATCCCCGAGTCGGTTGGTGAGGCATCTGGGCATCTGGTTAAGAGAAGCAGCTGTCCTGAGTTTCGGTATTGAGGCGCAGGAGCCTTGAAGTTTCTTGATCAATCTCGCATAGGACCTGTAATCGGAGCAGGAGGTCATACACGTCTTGTCCAAGCAGGGCTACGACCCGGCTGACAGGAATTGCTCGGTGCAGAAGGCACAATCGCACGAGATCCGCCGTGCGTGCCCTCGCCGAAACAAGCTTCTCGTGTTGCCAAATCTGCAGTCTCTGCTCCAGTAGGCCGCCGGATTTCGCCAGAACGAACTCTGTCAAGCAAGTTGCGCCTGCTCCTTCCACCACCGTTGACTCCGTGTATGAGGCCGCCAGGAGTCTCTCCCTCACGAGTTTCAGTTCTTCCAGGTCCAACAGCTCGTCTCCAAGGAATTTCGGAGACCTTGCTGCCAGAAGCTTCGTGGAGTACTCCAAGAGCTGATGATCCAAGTGGATGCCCTTACAGGATTCCTGTAATCGTGCGGCGCTTGTCAGTGCCTTGTGCGCGCCTTCGATGTCAAAGAGGCGGAAACGGTAGAGTCCAAGGGTCGAGAAAAGGGCGGTTCTTCGTTCGGCCGTAGCTCCGGTTTCGTGTCGCAGCAGGAAGCGGAGCTTCTCCTCCTCGCAACGGAGAGCCGCTCGTGTCGCGAGGCCGTGCGCAGCCACCAAACCGTCGCTTGTCTGATGCCGTGGTGCCGACGCAGTGCTCGCCGGGTCGCCCCAGGGACAGCGCTTCAACAACTCCCGGAGGCTGGTCTCTCTTCGCTGCAGGGTCTCGATGTCGGAGGCGGCCGCTGTGTCGGATAGCACTCTCCAGTCCGAGCTCACCTGCAAAAGGGACTCGGCAGACTTCTCCAGGATCTGGATCCAAGGTCCTGGCGAACTTCGTAAGGAATCCCTCTTCATGGATTTCCTGGCCATCATCGAGGCTAAGGTGAGCAGCGCGTAGGGTCCTCTCTCAGTCCGATGATGTCTCTGGCTCCATGCTACGGGACGCTTCCCGGAGCAAAAGCTTCTCGTGCCTCCCCCCAGAGGCTTCGGCATGCGAAGGGCGCAGCCGGCTACGTTGGGTCCAGTCATGCCTGTGGGGCTTGGGCTCAGGCAGCATCGCTTGTGGCTCGAACCAAGTCACCGAAGTTCCACGCAGACTTGGGCTCTCACGCATAGGAACCGACAAGCGGGGTCGATCTTGCATGCAAAGACTCCCAATCGACTGCCACCTTCCGAACCTCTAGCATCCTCTCGAAACTTTGCACGAATCGCGGTTCAGGAGAGTTTGAGGTGTTCGAAGCAGAGTTACACATGCTTTGCAGGGAATCAGCAACAATCCGAGCTTTTGTCCTCAGCTCTCACCGCGTGCACGCTTAGCGGGAGGTTCTGCAGCCTCTGCACCCTCCTGGTTGGCGTCTGGCGGGGAACCGCCCTCCTGCGCTGTTATTGGCACTTGGAACTTGTCCACCTCACTCGGAACCCATTAAACCTATATGCACAGGAGCCTGCCAGGGCTTAAGCTCGGAAGTCTTAAACAAGCTTCCGACTCCTCGTCGTCATCGTCGCTCAAGTCCTCCTCCTCTGCCTGCTCGGAGCCTGCGGGTGCCTCCTGCATAGCCCGCCATTCCTGCAAAAGGAGCTGTATTCAGTGCTCCCGACTCGGCTTGTTTCACGACATGACTGTATGACCCATGCTAGTCGTACTCGTAGTTACCGCTATAGGTCCACCTGCAGCTCTTTGCAAGCGGCTCAAGCAGAAGTATGAATCAGTATGAATGTTGGGAAACGTCTGCGGAAGTTTCCCTGCCAATCCTGTGCGGTGATCTCGCCGGGGCCATCCTCGGACGCAAGCTCTTTGGTGGCCGCCACGACGGCCTTCGCAGCCTCCTCTGGGGCGGCACTCAGCAAGGCGTCGAGATCGGAAATGATCGCAGGAACCATCAGATCACCATCTGCCAAAGAGTCTGGATTCATGAGGTTCTGAAACTCTGTCTGGCTGATAGTCGCACCCTGGTCTAACTGTTCTGATAGCCTGGCTACCCCACCTTTGGGGAAGTAGACCATCATCTCAGATTCGGACTCTGAATCTAGTCCTTTCTCCCAGTCGATGCTTTCACTGAGGACGTGGCCTAACTGCTTGCACATGAAGCCTGCCACGGCATCCATGAGCGCAGGACAGGACTCGTGCTTCAGGCCCGGAAACTGCTTGAATTCGACGGATGCCTGAGCCTTGCTCAGAATCTGTGCTGCAGCTTCCCCGCAATCGAAGCCTACCATGTCGTCTGCCGTTCCGTGGCAGAGAAGGAAGGATGTTGATCCCTTCCATCCATCAGAAACGATCTTGCGTGCAGTGGGCGTCAGCCATCCCGAGATAGCCACGCAGCCAGCCAACGGACGAGGATGTCGGAGAGCGCATTGCAGGGCAATGGCGGCACCCTGAGAGAAACCTCCGATCAGCACGCGCTCGGAAGGTATCTTCTTTTCCAGTTTCTCGATTTCGGCCAAAACCATCGCAACCGAAGCAGCATACGAGCCGCCCTTGTCCTCATCGATGTAGTCGGTAGAGCCGACACGAATAACTTCTTGAGTGTGGAACTGGCCCCAGCCCCTGAGCTTCTTATTCCCATAGCACGGCTGCTCCAGAAGAGGAGCACAAAGGTGATGCCAGGACCAGCTGGTAAGACCCTGAAGGGGTTGCCATGCCATGGCCCATCCTTCTGGCGAATCCCCGAAACCATGCAGCCAAATCACCGCTCTGGTGGCCGTCGCCTCTGCCTCGCCGAGAACCAAATTGCCAGCTGCGTCTTTGGGCATGGCTCTGCGGATCTTCGGGGGACGTGCTGCACTTTTGTGATGTTGTGCTTCTTGCTTCCCAGAAGCTTCACTCTTGACATGCTGCCTAAGCTGTGAGCCAAGCCCTGCCTGAAGCTTCGCGAGAGCAAGGTGTCAAAGCGCCCTATACAATTCATGCAGGCGCATGACATGGCTTTAGCTTCATTTTCTGAGCGAGCGACTTTTGACATGCTCAGGCTGCACCGCATGTGTTTCCATGCCATCCATGTACGTCCCGGCGAGCTCTGTCAGCTATGCTGGGGTCGACCGCCGGGATTCTGCTCGAAGAAGAAGTAAACCGCGACGTGCCGACTGACAACTGTACAGTCTACACAGTCTCAATGGACCACCTCGGACAGGCCGGCAAAAGGTGTGTGCATGACGACTGCTCTCCTTTGCATGGACAAAACGTGCAGTCAGGCAGCATCTCAATGTCGCGTACCACGAACTCGGACTTTGAGGCGAGTGTGGGGTTCCTGTGTCAGCAGCTTGCAAAAGGCTTCTCGTGGCCCGGACATAATAGGACCCTGGAGCATTCTGAGATCCATGGCTGGAAGGTCACGGTCGGAGAAGAGTGTCCCTGCCTTAGCATTCCCACAGCAGAAACCCGAAGGACTGAACTGCTGCCTGCAACCCAAAGCAAGAACTCGTCCTTCGAGAGGTTCCCTGGCAAAGGACACCAGAAAAAGCAAAATTGCACAGTCGCCTCCACCCTCCGATCCTCCCACTTAACTCTGAACCGCAAAAGTGGCCATCGAGCAAGCCCGTTCGGGCTGGCACAGTAGATCAGATTGGATCACGAAGGCAAGCCGTCCTGCACCCAGCTGCGATCTCGCTGGAGTAGTGTGCATGATTGCGGGACGGTCCCAAGCTCGACTCAGCTATTTTTGCCAACATGCTGCCCCGTGATTGCCAGCAAGAACTGCCGAGGCCTTTTTGCACTGCAAAGTCAGGTGAGGAATACGCTGCTGACAATTTGGACGCACTTCCTTCACGACTTGAGGACAGCTTTACACTTCAAACCGAAGCTTCTGCATTCCTGTAAACGGTCTTCCTAAGAAGATCAATCCTGGTTGCTGGGCTCCTCCACCGGTCTGTGCGCACACGCTCCGGTTTTCCTGCTCCTCCCACAGCTCTCCGAGCAAGCTCCTCCCATCGGTGTGTGCGCTCATCGTCCTCCCATGCCCGATTTGCGCGGCGCGCTCCTGCCACCAGTGTGCAAGCACGCTGTTGCCATGGGTTGCATGCGCACAGAGCTGTACCCACGACCGTGCGTGCCTTCGTGGTGCACACACACAGCGGCGGGGAGGGAGCCGTGCGCAATGCGCGTGCACGGTCATGCCCACGCTCCTCCCGGAGCGCGATGTGTCCGCGAACGCTCCTCCTACAGTTTTGCGCGCGCATGCTTGCTGAACCGGTGGACGAACAAAGCCTGCCAGATAGGAGAAGGAGTGCTATCGCGTCTGAAGAGATGTCTCCCAGCCGCTCTCGTGCACGATCCTACCGCCGCCGGTGGGTGTGCGGTGTGCACGCAGCAAAGAATAAGCTGGAAGTAGTATCACATATTGGTGCTACAAATAATCAGCATTCATGCTAACGTCGCGTTAGTTTTGATACGGATGCTCACTGGCTGTGCATGCTTACCATTGCTCACAGGGCTCATGATTGTTTTCGTTGTTATCCATACAAGTAGCTGATTTCTCGTACTCGTCTAAGTACTATTGACTATTGCCGTCAATACTGTGAGGATGATTAGTGTAGCAATCGTACTGAGTGCGGGTGTTTATGTTGCCCTGTTGCTGTTGTATTGTTGATGTTGCCGCGCTTAGAGCTGTGCGCGAGCACGGTCGTGCGTGCATTTTCGACGTGAACATTTGCGTGCGCATCGAGGTTTCCTGCCTTTGGCAAGAACACAGGCAAGGGCATGCTGTGGTCGCAAACATGCCGCGCTCCAGGCTAACTGAATTGGATGTGGCAACAAGGTCCTTCTCCACCTCCCATTCCAAACATGGACTTGTCCGCGTACATGCAGCACCTTGGCAATGACGACCACTGTTTCCGTGGCTTCGACACTCCCTGACGGCTGCTACGCATGCTCCGCCATGGGATCACATTCACGAATAATGCAGGCCTAGATTGAGGCGCAGCTTGTGCCCCTCCCCCGCCGCCGCCGGTCCCCCCCCAGAAGCAACCCAACTTTCAGTCTTCTGCGGCACTGGATCTGGGACCCCAGCGCGTTTTCCGAAGACCAGGGGAAGAATTGAACCTGACACCATCACCGGTCCGAAATCCCAAATCCACTGAAGCTCACCTCCAAAGACCCAACGTGTTTTCGGCGTGCCTCTGCGGGCTTTTCAGTCTTGCGCCCGAACGAGAACACGAAAGCCTGCAGCCACGCAATCTCAGGGACCTCCTTCCCGTGCCGTTCGCTTCGGGTATGGAGTAAAGTCTCGGCAGCCTCGCCGGACCCGTAGAACCTGCAGACTCACAGAGTCTCGAAAACGCAGAGACTTTTTGAATGGATGAATCGCCACGGCACCTCCCAGCCGGCTCCCAGGCCGAAGTGGCGAAACCTCCAAAGACGAAGTCCTGGCCCAGGCGGCTAAGGGAGAAAAGCTTCGGCATCTCCGATGCACAAGCCCAGGGGTTCATTGTTTGGGCTTTGCCTTGTTTTCCATTGTAAACTGTTATGCCGTTATGTAATGCGACGAAAGCTTGAATGACTTTCAGAAGAGATACAGCCATGACGACCGGCCTTGTCGCACATTTCTCAGGACTTGAAACTCTGCTGGATTGAAGCAAACTCCAGTGGCTCATCGTGCACATTTCTAATGTTAGGTTCCAGAAGCATTCCAACGTCTAGTGAAGGAGGCGGCTGGGCCCACTCTGCTCGGTAGACTCGCTAGACTTGTAATCGGGACTGCACCATGCCAAGCTTTGGGCACCTGTGCATGTGCCATCCTCGGAAATCGGGGAGGGCGTTTCAGAATCATGTAGGATTTTCAGCATCAGCCTGGTGGGATTTCCGATTCAAACCGCTCGCATGAGCTCGAGGCAAACCGCGTGACGCACTTGTCCAACGACGGGCTCCCAGGCGTACAACGGCGGCTCGAATGCATTGTCGGAGGGGCTTGCCCTCCTCCATGTGCCGGTACTTTCCTTGGTTTTGTGGCTCGCTCTGGCTGCATTTCATCGCCTGCGTTGCTCCGGAGAACGGGTTGGCTGCTGGATCGCTGCTGTGCGCTCCGTCACAACTTCGAAAGTGAGGAACGTCCGACGCTGCATCTGTCTCTGCCTCCTGCTGATGCTCGGCTGTTGCAGCGGCCTCCTCCTTGTCCTTCGCGGACGCCTCCTCCTCGCAACTGCCAGGTCACGGCATCGTGCTGTCCGCACGCCAGAAACACGTCCGATCTGCACGAGTACAGGGAGCGTACACTCGCCGGTTCCACACTCTGAGTACTGAGACTTGCGTCATCTTGCGTCGCTTTTGTGAAGAGTTGCACGCACGTCTTGTCCAAGATATGGAGACTTCTCGACAAGGGGCCTGTATGGGCCTGTTGGGTTTGGACAGTCGCTCGAAAAAGACTCGAAATCATTCCGGGTTATACCATGGCTCATTCCACCTGGCTCCTGACGGATCCGAGACATCTCACCGAAAGGCTGGGGTCCGGGGTGGGTAACTACTGGAAGCCACCCCTGTACTTCTCTTGGCATGTCTTTTTGAGCTTCGGGCTTCGACTTCCGGTAACAGCTATTGTTCCACGTGCTTTCTACATCCTTGTGCCTCTTCAGTATTTATTTTGGAATATTGAGCTCCCTATCTAGCTTATCTCTGACGCTTCCGAAAGATTTTAAGCACTAGTTCTCGCATCAAAAAATATGTCGTCAAATCGTTGAAACTCTGTTCAGACTTGCTCTCCATTTGGTGTGTGATTTTGCAACTTGATTTTTTCATATGCCTTTCTGCATTTCGATTCAGTTGTTCTCTGTTCTTGGGGATTTCTGCTGCTTTGACGACTGTCGACAATTGTAATAGTATGCTCTGGATTTGCTACAGAATTGACTGATGCCTTTGGCGGTGGGCGACTTGCTGTTTGAAGCTATGCCGGCTGTTATCGTAACCCGTGTTCTTGCGAAAAGAACCCTCTGTTGACAGAGCAGTAGAGTTTGCCGGGTTTTCCGCTCTTCTATAACTTTTCACGTATCCTGTCCCGTTATTTCCAGCGTTTCCCAACCTCTTTTGATGTTCTGTTGCGCCTCCATATATTGCCAACTAAGAAGTTGGGATGGTTGCTCAGAGGTCGAACTAGAGCGCCTGCGGAAAGTGCTCACCTCTGGCTCCACCTCCTCCGGGTGCTGCTTGCACGGCACTCTTTGTTTTTCTGATCGCCGCCCGCTGTGAAAAGCTCCGCTGAACGCGCGGGACTGCACTCAAGAGATGTGTCATGACGTGTCTACTCCGCATGACAAGATATGACAAGGTCATGCATTTGTATGTGGAATATTGGCGCTACTTCTGTCTAGCATTAGCGTTGTTTGCAGACCTCCTACAAGCCTTTTGGAGAGTGGCGCAAGGGAGTTTCGACAAACGCTGGCGGGATGCGCAGCAGATGGATGCGCCCATGTAGGCTCCGTCTGTGGTGCTGCGATGTGCTGCGCATTTGATGATTCTGAATATATCATCCGTGGATGCTCAGATGTTGAAGGCGGAACTGGCGATTGTAACACGTTCCGTCGAAGAGCACCGACAGTCGACCTTCAAACCTCTTGAGCAATGATGAAATGTACATCTCTGAGTGTGCTCAGGCTCAAGGCACCTGAGCGAGGTTTCAGAGACAAGCAAGATTAATTACCACAAAGAGGCAGTAATCGCCACAGTAGCAGAGGTAGCAGTAGTAGCATGCAGCAGCAGTGGCAGTAGCAGCACCAGTAGTAGAAGAAATCGCCCAGCGCGTGGAGACACCGAGACGTGTACTATGGTGGCTGTTGCTAGCGGTTTCCGTAGTTCGACCCAGGCATGACAGCAGCTGCCAAGCCGGAGCCTCTGTGTCCTGAATGATCACGATGGTCTTGTCCCGCCTGTGGAGCTTGGCGGTTTTTGCAGGACACGGGTATGTGATTCAATCGCATGGAATCTTTGCAGTTTCAACTTTGACAGTCTGAGGCATCTGCTCTGCCATGTTCCGGAACATTGTCGACAGGGACACGCCGTGCGCCTGTCGTTAGTCCATTTATCTTGCAGCTTCAGCAGAAACAAATCCAAAGCTTTGAGCTTCTGTCACCTGACCTTCAACCTCGACTTTAGGAAAAGGCTACGTTGCCACATGCCACCGGGAGTTTTGAAAGACTGCATAACTTCTAAGCCCTCGGAGGGCAGCATGTATGGTGTATGATGTATAGAGTTCTTGAAGCCTCAAGCCGAGGTCTTGTGGCCTTCGGTGTGTACCGCAGCACCCACTCGACCAGCCCGGGCAATCGCAAGCTCACGGGCAAGAAGTCCATCAGTGCCTCCTGACGAAGGCTTCAGGCTTGATGAAGCTCGGATTGTCGCTTCTGCAGAGGGGCCAAAATAGTCTGGCTAGGAACTCACAAGATCACGGGAGGCTGGGGTGAACGTTTACCGTTGGGGTTGCAAGTGGTTGACTCTTCGATTCAGGGAAAGAGCTGAGGCTATAAAGGCCGGCTCGGTGTCGGAACCCTCCCCGGCAGGCAGGTCGCTCGCCCTCCTCGGGGCAGCTGTACAAATGCGACATTGCCGCCTGCGGCTGGAGACACTTTTGTCGCTTCGTGACGACCGCCGTTGGACAAAAGCGAGCAGCTGTTCTGCAAGCTCAAAGGACGCAGAATCCTGCATCTTATCTGTGACCTGCGCCTTCGACACACATAGGATGTGGATCATTCACGAAGCAAGGATTCAGTCCCACATGGGAGCAGTGATCGCATGAGTGGAAGAGGCTGCTTGCCAACGAGAACTGCCCGCTGCAGCCCTCTCCGTCTTTGTTGCAGAAAGTCGGGCTTCCTCCTGCTGTGCTGCTGTACCACACCTCCGGCCCTGCATGACGATATCCCATGAGCAGAAAAGCAGCCAAGCGGGGCACCGGATCCATGTACGAGACAACTCTGAAGTAAGATTTGCCAGCCATGCGAGCTTCAAATGCCTTCACCCAAGCTTCGCCAACACGCGGCTGGCCAAAGGTGTAGACCTCCTTGATGTGGTACTTGTCTGCCAGCTCAAAACCGAAAGCTGACATCACTCCAAGCGCAAAGCCCAAACGCGAAAACACCCAAACAGCAAAACCCCCAACCCGAACCCCAAGATCGATCGCCACGAATGCCTGCTGTATCAGTCTTGGAGCTATGCTCTAAAGTCAATTTGCTGCTTCACTGTCAAGTTTTACCTTACTTAGTCAAACAGGCCTTTGCAAATCGGCCCCTGAAATGCATCCGAGTTGGCGGCAACCCTCACAGGGAGATGCAGGGGGCATTCTGGCTTTTGCGGTGTGCCTTCGCGGCTTAAGCACCGGGGGCGGTAGCATCCCTGAATCGCAGGATTCATTATAAGTACCCCTAATACGGGACTCTGAAACTCCCATGTCTCTTCATCTCTGACTGCGCTCCGCCAGGTCTTTGGTGAGCAGGGCGGACTCGAGATTCTCAGGGAGCCGCAGTGCGACCTGGCGTCTCTGCGGAGTTGTGGCTTTGGCTTCAGATGCCCAGGGCTTCGGACGAGACCTCGGGATTTGGAGAGAAGATTGCAGCATCTCGGAGTCAGAGGCTTCTGAGGCCTTTTTCGCCCAGGGCCCAGGGGGGCTTTTTAGAGGATGATCTTCAGTTTTGATGCGGGCGAAAGCTGACTATGCTCGTAGGTAACTAGACGCAACTTTTGAAAGCTACCAGTGCCCCTGTGCACGATGTGGGCTTTTGGGGCCGGCTTTCAGGAAAACATAGATTCCTGAGAACATTTTGTCAGATCTGGTGTGAACTATCACTTCACTGGAAGATCGTAGCTACACTCTGGCTGCTGTCCAGACGATCGACGCAGCCCAAATTCGAGGCCAGCAAGCACAGCCGCAAGAGGGTTGTGCCTTCTCAACATTGACCGGAGAACCTCACGCAGCCAATCCGCAAAAGAATAGGTTAAGGGCATTTCGAGAGATGCACCCGCCAACTCCGATCCTGGGTTCATGCTGGATAAAGGGTACGTGAGGCGCGTTTGCCCAAGAATCCTATGCTGGTTCTCAGAGGGCAGTGATGATAATCAGAGACCTGGGAAAGCGCCGTCAGGCGCGGCGCGATGAGTTGCGGCATGCGAGAAGAATTAGTGTTGTATGGAAGAAACAAGAAACTATCGCGATGTGGTTTGGCAATCAGTGACGGTTTCGAAGGATCGAGTCGACAGATCCATCTCTGGACTTCTTAAACTTCGAAATGGGAATGCTACGAGCAAACAGACATTTGTCTGGCTCGGCTTGGCACCGTGACTGACATGCACCCGCAAAAAAAACAGGCTTTCCGTCTCTCCGAATTGCTCGAACCATTGCCATGCCGAAATCTAGGAACTCCAGAGTTTGACCTCCCGAATCGATCCTTCGAATCCGTCACTGATTGTCAAACCACATCGCGACAGTTTCTCGTTTCGTCCATACAGCACTAAATGCTTCGCGACTGCCCCAAGTCGTCGCGCCTGCCAACGTTTTTCCTAGTAGGTTTCCTACACGTAACAACACCCGGATGTGACCTCGACAGCACCAACTTTTGAACCAAACCGTCTTCCCCCACAGACTTCCGGGCGAACGTGCCCTACACGCCCTGGGTGAATCAAAGCTGTTGTGGAAACTCTCATGATTATTCGAGCCATAAGCTATATTTACTTTGTGCCAACATTCGGAGATCAAGCCACACTACGCAACATTATGAAGCCTTGATTCCTGAGGCGCCTGGATCGCTGCGGACGTCCACTTCTTGCGAGGTCTTGGTGGCTTCACCAGGCCTAGAGAGACGGATTTGGGCCCGGAACACATGTGTCCCTTGAGTTTTGCATGTGGGCCGCACAGAGCGGATGTTGGATAGCTTTCTCTAGAGCCAGCGTTGTGAGACTCAATTTCACTGGGATGGGTACCGAGAGCAGCACTTCCAAGCGACCACAACTCGAGAGTACTACGCATCGCTACGGAATCCCTGTGCCTGGCTGCGCACTGAAATTCGTCAACCAGCAGGTGCAAGCTAGACTTGATACGAATTTGGGGTCGGGGTGAGGCCGTGGAGCCCCACACCTTCGAGAGCCAGCTATCGAGCGGATGTCGCATCCAAAAGGTTTGACACTTTCACGCTAAGGGTCCGGCCCACTTAGAAATTTTGTCCAGTTCGCGAACAAGCGCGCAGTCGTCGAGGGAGACCTCTCCTGGGACATGCACAAAAAGCCACAGCAAACGTGATTCTTATCTTCAACTCCTATGCCCAACTGACGCAGCACGAACTGAACATCTTCGGTTCTTTTCCAGCCACTTCAACAAACTGCAAAATCCAAACTCCCATAACATCGCTCCTTTGCCAACTGTTGCTGCAACTGGTGATGGTGGAGGACGTGCTGGGCATCACAGAGAGCTCAAAGTTTTGCAAGTCTTGGTCTCGGAAGCAACTGTGTCGCTGCAGGGTCTCAACTTCGGCTGTGGGTTTCTATAGACTATGAGGGCACAGACTGAGGCGCACGACGTGAAGCATTTACAAAGAGGTTTCCGGAAAATCCATGCCTCGAGCTCGGCCATGCAGTCCAGACCTTAGGGACACCAAAGCATCTCGCACGCGTCTGGACACCGACAAAGTGTTTGTGAGCCCACAGTTCCCGTGGTGAAGAAACGCTCTATTCGGCCTCGCTTGTTTGTGGTTATTGCCTTCGGACTGCGGATGCTGGCATCGGGGCCCCCGCACGGAAAAGGCACGGAGGTCTGCGTGGAACTTGGACAAGCGCTGCTGCTTGCCTGCTATGCTGGAGGGGTCCGGCTTTAGGAGCGCTTTGTGCCCGTCATGTTGACCTTGCAAATCTCTCGGCTGTGTTGTGGACTCCATTCCACAGACAGCAGAGTCACAGGCCCAAGCTCCAACAAACAAACTAGGTATTTGGGCTCTTCTAGCTCGCCAAGCCAACTAGAAAATCCTGCGAGGTTGGAACGAGACAGCATACATTGCGCAGAACCGAATTTGCAACCACACAGACAGACTGTGCAATCTGCGATGTTCAACTGCTGCTCATGCGCGCAGACAATTTGTCTTCCCACAGTACGGGGAAGAAGGTCTGGCGGAAGACACGGACAGAAATCTGATGTGTGGCCTAAGCACGCTTGATGCTTGACCGTCTTCCACGGTGGGGCTCAGTGCCCCATGGGCTAGCGATCGCAGCTGAAGCGAGACCGTGGCAGGCATCAAGCACAAGCCAGACCAACAACAACCACAGCCACAGGCGGCATCACAGTAGCGACTGTGGTTGAGACATTCAAAAACCCTCTGTCTCGGCTTCCGCAATGATGTTAAGTCCTGAAAGCTTAGGGTTCATGTCTCCGGGCTTTCAGCTTGTGTCCGCATCAGGAAGCCTTCGACTAAGCGATGCTCCAGGTCGACCCAGCGAGACATGCCGGCGATGGACAGCTCGACTGTCACGAACATTCGAAAATCCCCGCCACACGACTGCAGCCCTGCTCTGTGTAATGTCTCCGCTTCGTGGCCGTCCCACCACAGGGAGTTTCCATTGGATGGATGCGACTGCTCTGTCAACATCCGGCGCCTTGGCCTTCTTGGCTTCCAACAGCAACGAGGTGACCTGGCGCTCAAGCTCTTAGGACTTGCATGCAGGCTCTTGTGGGCCTGAAGCTCCCTGCCACTCCGTTCTAGCATGGACAAGTTGGGCGAGTGTGGACTGTTCAGCTATGCGATGCCCACTCCAGTCTCAGAAGCTAATGCTCAGGCTGCAACTTCCTGGCCTGGTTCAGATCCCGTTTGTCCACCAAGCTAAACACCACAAACCAGGGGTCCACGACGTCCTGCGACGTCGCGGTTGGAAGGTTTAGCTGTGGAGTTTGGGCATTTCAACTAGGCAAACCTTTCAGCACACATATGCTTGGCAAGGCTGCAGACAAGCATTTCGGTATCCTACACATGATTTCCACATGGTAGACAAGCGTCGTAGCAACTGTCTGTTACTGCTGCTCCTCCTGCAGCCGGAAATGCTTGCCATTCAGCGTCCTCCCGCAAAGCTGGGGGATCTTTTAGACATGCCCGTCTCCGAGCCCGCCGAGCCCTGAGACGAAGTGCCGTTCCCGCCTGATCTGCAGCTGTAAGAAGTAGGACAAGTCCTTGCCATCCTGCACCGCTGTGGTGGTGGATTCAAGCTCTGGAACTTTTACGGGCTGCCGCAACTCCTGGACCTTGACTGCAATAGCCACAAGGTACAAGCCAACGTCACGTGACCCTAGCTACTAGGCTTGCGGAACATCTGATGTCAAACTTGACCCACAACGCAGAGGTCCGACAGCGGCATGGTGATGCCCCCGCATTGTAGGATGTCTTGCACCTTTTCTGCCAGTTTGAGGAGGGCTCCAGGGTTTGAGGCAAGTCGCACTCTTGTGGCCGATAATTGCAGCAGCAGTATGTTTAGGATCTTTCGGCTGACATAATTATTGACTGCTATTCCGAGTCTACCGGCCTCCAAAGTCACGGTGTAGAGCTCTTCGCCGAACCTTGTAAGCAAAGTGCGACATCATGCGACGGTGTTTCGAACGCTCGCACATGGGAGTAGTAGCAGCTTCTTCGGCTAAGAGCCCTGCTCCTTCACGTGCTGATCATCTGGATCTGGCTTGAAGGTCATCAGCAGAGGACAGGCCTCAGCAAAAGCAAAGAGCTGAGGCTATGCTTCTGTCAGATTGAGGACAGCACTTGTATGCTCAGGGGTCCACAAATAAGATGCCAGGAACCTTCATGTGCGGCGTGCAGTACAGAGCTTTGAGCCTTCAGAGACCATGTTCGGAAATGGATAGAGCTTGCCGCACGGCCTGAACCTACCATCCTACGCATAGATTGAGCACAAGCCGCAAACGGCCTGAGTGGCGGTGCATCCCCCTTCGTCCTTGCAAGGTTCAATGATGCCAGCTCCTTCTCAACAGCTGATGTTCTAGCCGTGCCTCTCTTCTGGTCTGGTGCGCAGCGACTTCGGCGACAAGGAGAAGCTGGAGGCTGTTGGCGTCCTCGACATGGCCAGCAAGAAATCGCAATTAACCGGCAAAGGCACTCGTCATGCCTGCCTTGGCTTACTTCTTTGCAAACTCTTGGACCTGAGCACGTGCTTCATGTACCTGCCAAGCTCTGGGTGAAGTCTTGTCCTGTGGGGGGTCGCCAAAGCTGAATGCTCATAACCAGCTACTGGTAGGATCCTTTAAGAAGTCCGGAAGTATCTCCATGTAACCCTGGCCTTCCCCAAGCGTTTGTGGGTCTGCCGGCAGCCCACGGCGGGAGGCTGCCGGCTAGATCGAGTACCTCACCTGGCGGATGGGGGCCCAGCCAGGCTTCCACAGGCTGCTAAGTCGGAAGATGCATGTGCATGTATGTTCTCGCCTCAGAACAGGGCTACTGCAAAAGACTCCTCGATCAAAGTGCGCTAAAGCCCCAATTCTGTAGTGGCATCGACGTCATCTGCAGGACTGTAAGCTCATAGCAACCACACTACAACCCAGGGGCAATTGATGTTTCGGGTGCAAACCTCCTCGGAGGCGCACAGGCGATGATGCATCTACGCGCGGGTTCAAAAGCGAAAGCAGATTTTGTTGGAGATTGTTGATAGGAGCTGTCACCCGCAACTTTCCAACGGAACAGAACCGTCAAAGTTGCAGAAACCACTGGTCAACAAGCACAGGTTCGGATACACTTTCAGCGTGAGAGTGCTACTGCACTTTTTCCTTTGCGCCAGTAACTAGCGATTAACTTCTAGCCCACAGAATCATCCCCACTGCATGTCCCGGGCGCACATGGCGGGGAGTTGCAGGTTGAACCGAGCAGGTCATGCCAGAATTGTACAAGAAGAGCTGAGTTGCTTGGGGCTTTTGGTCTTGCTGAGTTTGCTCTTTGGAGGTGTCTAGCAATGTGCAAGACCCGGAAAATGGGTGCTGAAGTGCTTCAAGGACTGTGTCGGCAAAGTGCCAGCTGAAAGCCACAGATTGCAGCTACCAAGCAAGCAAAATCACGTGCAGGGTCCAGGAAGTGAGGGACCCAGATCGGACCAAGATATGCTTCTCTGCGTCGTTTGCTCTGAGACTGTGCGTCTGCTGCCAGAGGCTTCGACGGTGAGACTGGGTACTCGAGGGCGCAGTTTAGAGCGCACACCTACATGCAAACTTCGAATTCGTGGCATGCCAGTTATCGAGTCAGTGTGCATTCGGTACGGCTGTTGGACCTTTCTAGACACTACCCTCAGCTCTCATGTGCTAGCATGTGCGTAGATGGTTATGGAATCGCAGGGCTCTTGCTCGCGCTTCTCGCAGCGAAGTCATCTCCTGATGCGCTGATGCATGTGTGCATTAATGCCGTGCAAGAATCCATCAAGAACCTCCAACTGCTCGACTCTTCCGGAATTGAGGCAGGAGCTGCAGAGCCAAAAGTCCATTGTCCAGCAGAATCTTCACCTCTGCCGGAGCCCGAACTGGCACGTGTGCAGCCTCCAGCAGCCTCTAACAGACTCTAGCATTGCGAGTTAAGTCTCTATCAACAAGACCAGCTCTCAAGGCAACCAAACCTTGTAGGCTTCGCAGCACCTCTCTCCGACGGCAGAAGGGCTGACTTAGATCTTCTGCTTGTCGGACAGCTCTGGAAGGCAAAGGCACAACCCGCGTTCCAGCCTTTTGGAACAGGTGCGGCTTGTGCTGGCACAGCTCCTGGAGATACATATATATCGCTCGCAATGCTGCCTTAAGCCAGCCAGCCTACCCCGAGCAACAGCAAAGCTTGAGGCTCCCAGAGCCAAGGCCCGGCAGGTCTACGGTTACTTTCGCTGAATCCGCGCGGTTTGGGACCTGCGGCCCCCAAGCGATCCGGGGCTGTCAACTGTGTAAAACCCTTGAAACAACACGAAGGAGTTTCCTATCGAAGCATCTGTTGATGTTCAAATCTCTGGGCGCCCTGGCGTGCATCTCCAGCGGCTTTCCAGCGTAAAGCTCGGAGATCAACTGCTGCACCTCGGGATCCTCACGAAGGCAGCTCACGAGTTGAGTTGGCCTGAAACGCTGACAAAGATCCGGGCAACTCATAGCGTCCTCGCTCCCTGCACACTTGCACAGCAACCTGTCCTGGAAGGCCTTTGCAACCTTTGGATCATCCAGGGGCGAAGCCTGGGGATTGCTCCAGATTTGGAGGCTCTTTTTCAACAAACCGCGAAATCTACGAGAAGTTCGTTCGTAGAATTGTTCAGACTTCATCGTGAAGAACCCCGTGGCTCTCGAGGCAAGCAGCACAAAGGTCTGCGGAAGCTAGAATGAATCCCCAGCGAAAAAGTCGAAGCAGTATCGATTAGCTGTTTTGAATGCACATGACGCAGCAGGATCGGATGTTCCAGATCTCTCCCAGCTTGGAGGTCAAGCTTCAGACATGGTCAGCTGCTACATGCGAGCCAGCATGCTATTTTAACTGTTTACAACAGAAGGTTCAGTCGCACGCAGCCAAGAACATGGATGAGGCACATGTCGTCGTCTTCCATCTTGCAACCCTGAGACCTAAAACCGAACAGGTGATGTTCAATCACGATAGCGGGTAGCGCCTGCTGTGCTGGGCTCGCCTTTGCAGGCGGGGAGGGCCTTGGCACTTTCGGAAGGCTCAGTTGGACATCGGCATCACTGAGTGAGTGGCTACAGTCTGCAGCACAACCGCAACAACCGGGTCAATGCAAACCCTTCAGCGACATGGCTGCTATTTGCCCATGGTTCACCGATGCCGAGTGAAAGGGCAAATCGACAATCCTCGCGAGGGGGGACGCACCACATGATCTGATCCTAAAGAAAGCTCCTGGCGCTTTTGCATAGCCAGCTTGCGGCTTGCCTGGATTCGGAACCTGACGTGTGCATCAGCAAGCCAAGTTGGACTCTCACACCCAAGCACAAGGACTCGGGAGAAACCTCCTTGCTCAGAACGTCGAAATGAGTGGCCATGAGCCCGCTGAAGTCCTGTGCACGATATTGAGCTCCGTGCAAAAGCCTTGCTACCAGTACCCTCCAACCTGCATGAACTTTGTGACTTCCGGGTCATTCGCATACCTGCCAAAGCCAGTTCCCAGCAAAAATGTTTTTCGGTTCACTACCGAGAACAACAAGCAGCTACCTCTAGTGCGTGCTTCAACCCACAGGCACGTATAGCCCCCTTCGAAAACGAAACCTGCCTGCGCTTTGCCTCATCTGGGGCAGTCTGCATCAGGGCCATTGCCTTACGCACACCACTATCAACCTTTGGTATGCCTGAGTCTCTTCACGTCTTGACACCGGCAACGGATGGAAAGTTTTGACTTAGGCAGATGCACTCGGGATACAATACTTAGCCACCTAATCTTCCGAGAACCTGCTGGCAATTTTGGAACCTAAACCACCACATTGAAAAGTGGCTTTGCCAAAGCTCAACAGCTGCATATGTCCGACGGATCCAAGACTTTTGCGGTCATTAGGCCGACAGCTGCTGTTTAGAATGCACGGAGATGCTAATGTTTGGACTGCCACTAGCCTACCGCAACGCATCGCCCCAAACTATGTGGCCACCGCAGATGGTCTTTCTCGGGCTTGACTCGTTGAGTATCTGCAAAATAATTACGGAGGCGACTGAGGAACTGTACTGGCACTGTGCATCCAGGCTCACACGTAAGAGCGATTTGATAGAGGCAGCCTGGCCCCTGAAGAAACAGAACCCTTGCAAGCACTAGCCTATTTGCCAAAGAGACAACCATCCCTTCATACCGAAATCCCTGTGTTTGACCATGGCCGGCCTCCTGGACTTTTGGATCCGAAAGCGCCTCCAAAGCTTTCATGCAAGCTGTGCTAAATCCCCGCAGACTTGTGCAAGGTTGTCCCTGAATCACGAGCTCTGTCGGCCAAGAAAGTACCCCGACTGCTAACAGAACATGCCTGACAGGATCAGTTACGCGTTTCCAACCAGCCCCAAAACCGCACGGGGATCGACGCCGCCTTGAGAAGGTCTGGCCGGGACTGCATGGCCGCCATTAGCTGCGGAGTGATCCAGGACTGTCCAGGGCAATAGAATGCACAATGCAAAGTGGCAACAGAATCACTACCGCAGATCAAGCCCAGATCAGGTTTGTCTTGGGATTCCGGAAAAAGCCCAGCTGTGAAAGCAGGGGCTGACGGATATGAGCAGCCGACAACCCGACACGATACTTTCTCCAATATCTCCAAGTCGACGAGCCTGTAGCCCTCCCTCCTCTCCCCAAAGGCCTGGTCCTCCTTCAGCCGGGACATGCCCTGCACAGCCTGCTGCACCTCTTAAGGCTTGGGTTGGTTTCATCAAGGTTGCTAGCGTGTACACCTCGTACGTCGCCCTAAGCTTTTTCGTCACATGGCCGATCTGAGGTGATGCTTCTGCCATGCCAGCCATCGACTCCCTCGATGCAGCAGGAACAGAGTAATTTCTCCCAAGAGCGAAGCGACAGACATTGCTGCCAGCTGCACCTTTATCCCACAGCTCATCATCAATATAACATCACTGTGCCACATCGTACTATGGCCAATGTGGCACCCTGATCAACGTAAAGGTATGGAAACACGAGCTGTTTCCTTGCCCAAGCGACAGAAGTGCGTGGTCCAGAGGAGTTCCTTGAGCTGTCCTTCGCTGCTCTCGTCAGTCGCCGCTCTCGTCAGGCAGAATATGATACGGAATACCTCCGCGAGACCTTTCCACCGGGGCCATTAAGCAGGTGCAGTCCACATGCTCTGATGGCACCATGAGACCTGTCCCGGCTCCCAGGATGGGGGGCAATGCAGGGTCATCTAGGATCTGGGGGGGGTTTAGGCATGTCCACCCTCGGAATCAAATGTCAGCACTGCCTTGGACGGGGTTCAGAGGAGTTTCTGCAGCTTTCTCGCAGTCGTAGTCGTGTTGCTCCTTGTCATCAGGCAAAATAAATCCATGGCACCTCTCCGACGGCTTTGCCCGCGCCTGCCATCGGATACAGTTGCAGTTGCTGGGTCCACATTCTCTTTTATTCTTCTTCTACACTACCCTAGCTCCCGGGATTAAGGGCATCCAGGATCAAGTAGGATCTGGGATTTTTAACATGAGCCTGGTGTGTACAACTCCCATTGAACCGGTCCGTCTAGGAAATGGACCGCCCTCTGTAGCTGGAATGCCACAGGCTTGCTGGGGACGTGTGGCTCCCAGGTGCAGGGCGGCGGTTCAAACGGGTTGTCCGCCGGGTGCCACATCTTCCCAGCCTGCATGTAAGCATAATCCCGCACCACGGCCACTTCCTCCTGCACTTCATCTAAGCCATTCTCACAAGCCCGTTGGAGCGGAGGCTCGCTGAGCGAGCGTCGTTGCGAGCTGGGCTCGGGCTCCACGACCTCGAAGGCCAGGAAGGTGCGCCGACCCACCAAACGCAGGAACTTCAACTCCTCTGCCTCCTCTTGCTTCTGGCGGTCCTCTGCAGGGGCCTCCTGCTTCACGGTCTCCCTGGGCTCCCCGAAGCGCCTGCCAAGCCTGCCGGGAAATACGTCAAAAATGCAGCTTGGACTGGAGGGGCACGCCCGCTTTGTGTGAGTGCCCTGAGCCTGCTTTCTGGTTCTGTACTTTGGTCCAAGATTAGAGCTCCCACTATGTCTGTCTATATTATTCATGAACGTCCCGCCTGTCTCCTTCGTCCAGCTTCTCCCGGCCGCCACAGCAGCTGGCGCCCATGCTTTGTGCTCGAGGTTCGGAGAAATTCGGTGGGCAAGCTGCTTCAGCAGGTGTCGCAGCCTATCCTATCACCATACAGAGACACTCTCTGAAGATCTGCGCACGACTTCAATCCAGAATGCTGCATGTGCACCACACCAATGCTGCAAGAGAAGCACCCAGCATGAGTGTTTGCCGGTCGATTTAGGACCTTGAAGCTTCCTCAAGCTGGCCAGACTTGCCTGACATAGCAATATGTTGCGCTTACACATGGTCAAGAGCTGTAGCAACGACTGCTCGGACCAGAAAGCCCTTTATGGCATTGGAATTACCTCAAGCGCTCTCCCACCCACTCCATGCGCAAATTGGCCACAGGCCGTGTTTTGCTGTGTACAGGAGCAATGATCAGCAGCCCCTTTCTGGCTGGCGCTGGTTTTAGTGGGGGAGACCCTAGGCCCTAGGCCTCGTTTCCTCTCACGACCTCACCCCCTGAACTCATTGATACAGGACATCTCTGTTCTGGAGAATTTTCAAAGTAAGACACCTTGTGACAAATACTGCGCGCTGGCCTCTGGCATTTGTAGGCTCATCCGTTTGGCTTCCTGGTCACGTAGGCACCGATATCATGTTGCAGCAGGACACCGCGGCACGGCACGATAATTTTAACTTCTGACGCTGCCCTGAACTGATCGAAGCATTTGGCTTTGTGACAGGCAAGAATATGTTCCGAGGACTTGAGCACCACAGTCCTGTAGTCCCGTTCGTGGGGATGGACGACTGCGAAACAGCCACGTTGATGAAGAAGTGATTCATGATAGTGAGATGTTCGGCTACCGTGCAACATGGTGCATCCTTGATTGCTTCACGGCACGAGGCCTTTACCACCCATTTTGGCGAACCCTTGAACCCCTGAGAGCCGCCCGCCTGGGCAGATCCAGCGCCTGTGATGAAGGGCACTTCCTGCCCGGATCTTCTCAATGAGCAAACAACTTCAGCAGCAAAAGTGACCATCGCAGCTAGAAGACGCGTCGTAGGGCTGTGGCAGTGATCTTAACATGGCTCCAGAAGCAGCCTCATCTGTGCATGGTACACCTGTTGCAGCTTTGAGACAGTACCCCGCATCCTCGCTGGTGCTCTTCCTGTTGTCGCTCTTGGCGGAGACCTGCTGCGATTAAGTTTCTGCAGTTACGGGCGGTGTCAGTGGCTCTTCGTCGTTCGGTGGGCTACTGTGCTCTCTGTTCTGCAGTTGTAGCTCTCAGTGCTATCCTCCGAATCCCAATCCCGAAGTGACCAGGCCATGCAACATCTTTGCCTGGATGGCTTCCGTCTTTTCAGCTTTCTTCTTTGGAGCCTGTCCGTCAATTATCACAAGCCTAGCCTGTCGATAATCCTTCTGCACTGGCAGGACCACATGTGCAACAACATTCAGTCCAGAAGCAGCATTTTCGAAATGACAACCGCCACAAGACCAAAGCAAATGGTGATCTCGCTTCTCAAATTGTAGCCCCATGCCCCGGCTGGAAGCAAGTACAAAAACCCGAATCTATGGAACTCTCGACATCGCAAGCCTGCCATTGTTGCCAACCCAGAATAAACACAAATGTGGGAGCCCACAAAGTATGGTCCTATGCACTCGACTTGCAAGCTTCCTCACAAAGGAGCTCTGCTGTCCTTGAGGACCCGATTTCGAGACATCCGAGCTTGTTTGGATTCAAGGCGCACAGCTGCTAACCTGCCGTGCAAATCTCCACGAATGCTAGACACCTTGAACAATGTATTTCAATGGCGATAGTACCCTAGGTCGTCCTTTGCCTGATCTTCGAGGCTTCCACCTCCGAACATCTGGACGCCTCGTGACCCTCTGGTCGCAAGTTCTTATTTCCCGACATGTACCAAACACACCCCAAGATCCGAGAATCGCACCTTGCTGCCGCCCAGGAAGCCCTTCTTGAGCCCCCCTCCAAAGCCCTGGTCCACCTTCTTCCGGGCCTCGCAGAAATGATTTCGAGCTGAAAGCCGCAAAGGACGTAAAGCTCAATTCGGATTGAAGATTGGCTGCGGCACTTTTGCCGATGGCCTCGTCGGTGTCCTTCTTCTTCTGTTCCCGGGCAGCCAGTGCCTTCAGGGTTAGGCTTGTTGCTTGGTGTTCAGGTGTTTTTTTTCGTTCCCCGGTTTGCCAACGATCGCCTTTTGCATCAAGGCTTCGGCCACCTCATTCTTCTCTTGCAGGTCCTCCGGCTCTCCATCAAACTTCTCCTTCTCGGCGCTAGCGGCTGGAGTTCGCCTGCGGGTAGCCTCAAGCGGAGGAGGAAGATCGTCTTCCTCGGACACCGCCATCTGAGCGAGGTTTGCTGGATGAGCGGACTTCTGGGCCGTAGCGGGGTTGGGTCTGCCATGATCGGGGTCCAGATGAGGACATCAACAGGCTGAGTAGAGTGCTCTTTCACAACACTGCAAGATCTGTGAGCCAAGAAGAGAAAAGCGACTGAAGGCCAGGGTCGTGAATAAGCATGATCTCACGCCATGCTGTGCCTGTTTTAGCATTTGCAACTGTTGCAAATGCAAGCAAAGATGAGTGAATGTCAACAATCGCTGCAACAATCTGATTATCGCCTTGCCTCTGCACCATGTTTGGAAGTGGATGTGATTCCTTCGTGTATATTGATTAGAGTAGGATTCCGGGCAAGTTGACTGCGACCCGAAGCACCCGTGCAGACATCCTTGTTTCGTTTCGTGCCTGGGAAGTGAATTGTCAACAGGCCGAACGATCCTCGCAAGACACCGGCAGGCAAGCATCGCGTTTCTGCAGCAATGCGTGCATTCCCTTTCCTTTCTTTCTCCACCCCTCACGCAGAGCAAATCGATAAAGCCTTCGATGTGAAGCTTCGGGAAGTTCCACACCGTGTGCCAGCTGGCACGTTCATTAACAGGCATCTTTCCTGTGTCCATCAGTCTCGCCGACACTGTTGCTCTAGGTCTGAACCGGCTGTGCCACTGCATTCCTCGAGACCGAGCGAGTCGTTGTGAAAGACACAGATGAGCCTCTAACTTTGCTCGTTAACGGTAGAGCTCATCAAAGGTGAGCTGAGGTATTTCGTCGTCAGTGGAGCACCTTGTGCACAGCTTTGGCACGTCATGATGGCTCTGCCGAAGCACCGAACCAGGCGTGCAATCATTGCTAGGGAGCTGACGATCCCCACACCGCTGCTCTTCAATGCCAAAACAAACCTGCCTCAGAGGTAGCTGAGAAACAGCGACGTGTGACTGAAGAACCGAGGGAAAGCAAGCATCAGATGACACGATCCCGAAACCGTGACATGATGGGGTCTGCAGTCTGCTCCGGTCGTCGGACCGTCCTGGTGCAGCTTGTCGTAGATGACAGGAAGCATGGCCGCCGCGTTGTGCTCGACCTACACGGCGACGGCAGCAGCTGTCTATAATGGCAGATGCCAGAACTAGTCCTGCGAGAGGTCTAGCTAAACAGCTACTGCCGTTGATTCCCGGTAGACTGATCGTTTCCACACCATTGGGAACAAGCCTCGGCTGTAATCTCAGCAGCTGCTGATGCATCATCCAGCTCAAGGTGCAGTCGCTCTCTGACCTTTCCACGCAATGCTCGGATGCGCAAGATGAGCATTGAAACTATAGCACGTGGTGCATGGTACTAGATTGGTAGGGAACGGTTCGCATGAACAACTACAAGTCCTGCAGAAGCAATCGCCCAGACTTGGCTGAGCCCGAGACAATATGGATTGCCAGTTCTGCGTGGTCTCGCAACACTGTGACGCCATTCCTCCACTGCAACTGATGCTCTGCTGTCGGTACTGCATGCACACTGACCGCCATTTCTCGCCAGCTACAGTCACTTGGCCGGTGAAGCATGATGTGCTCTGCTTCCCCGACCCTCCAGCGCTCGACGCCAATGACAGAAGCGCCGTCCATAGACGAGCGGTCCGCCGAATGAGCGTGAAAGCCTGCCGCACAAGTCAAACAGAAGGGCTTAAGAACTGAAATTCTTGGTGGCAGGACGCAACAAAGAAGATACAGGCTGGACCCTCCATCCGTTTGACTTCGACTCTTTGGATGCAGTGGTGCGACCGCTGTGAACGCGCCAGCAACCTCCCACATTTAATCGTGTTCCAGTTCACGATTCGTCCTGACTGCGTTTAAATAAGCCTTTCTCTCGTCTCATGGCCTCGCGGAGAAGTTCACGAAATCGGTCGTATCGGCCGGACAGCCTGCAGTACAACTGCATCTGGCCGTAAAGGGCCGCCCAACAACTAAACCTGAAACCCGGAGAATCCCGAAAGCGAAACATGAAACCTCTAAACAAACCCTAAATGAATGATACAGGACCGTCAAGAAGCTTGGCTTCACAAACAAATCCTTGTATGGGGCCTGGGCTCACGATCAGAAAGCCCAGCAGCCCACTTCCAGGATTCTCCAAGAAAGGACTAGGGACAGAACAGATTCCGTCCTACAGAAGCACCGCGATCGCAACCCTTGAGCTATGCTGAGCTTTGGCCTCAGGACTTCGAGGACCTCGCGAGGCACCTGCAGTTATGGCTAAAGGAGTCGGGGCTTGCGGCTGAAGCCTTGGGCTTGGGCCTGGGATTGTTTGCAGCTTCACAGTGGGAGGGGAAAAGGGGCTTCGGGTGTGAGCCTTTGGCGTGCAGATTTTTCTGGCATGGAACCCCAAGCTGGCCAAATGAGTTTTAAGAGGATCTTGGGAGGTTGGCTGCGGAACATCGAGACAACATATCAAACATTTCCAAAGCGGGACCGCGGAAACCTGGGCAGGGGCCGCCTCTTTGCACCAATCGGCGTGGGCCAGGATCGATTGCTTGTTTTTGGTCTGATAAGTATTTTAACATAGAATTCAGCTGTCATGGATGGCTGAGTCCACTTGCTCTAATTCTAGCCACGCGAGAACGTTCTGGAGCGTTTGCGCCGCGGAAGCTATGGTTTGTGAGAGTAGGAGTAGTAGTAGCAGCAGCAGTAGTCACTCGGTACTAGCAACAATCAGAGCTTACAAAGTAGATGGAACTGTGTGCACGTGTAAGTCACCGGGCGTGTGAGCAATTAAGTAGCTGTTGGGGCGTCACTTGCTGGGCCCCTGACCCTGACAGAGGGAGCACCAGGCTTGGGGTCTTCGCCGAGGACGAAGCCGAAGTCGATGTGGAAGAAGTGACCATCCTGAAGTGAAAATTGCCCGTGCGCCTTACTTTGTCCATGCCTTCGGGCTGGAGAGCGGAAAGGAGTAACCGTGCACAAATCTGTTTACAGCCACAAGTACGTACCCCCGATAGCAAAGTTCATGCTGCAGGTATCAAGAACATACCTGGCTCACGTTGCGATTCTCACTGCCAGCGCAAGCCCTTGGGCCCCCCCCAACCTCCGTCATCATAATGTTGTCGAGATGTCGATCTCCGATTCCCAGCAGGTACGTGGCCACGCAGTACCTCCCAGGCCCCGAATTGGCTCTAGAGATAAAGTCATTCAGTGCATGGGGATTTTCGTCGCCGAGCTGCCCTGCCGTGCTGCCGCACAGACGGTCATAGGCGGAGGAGGTGGAACCACTACCTCAGCAGCTTTCGGGATCTAAATTCAAGGTAGGGGCTGAGGGTCTCGTTGCGAGGCAACCCAAATGTCACAATCACACCCACTTCTTGATTGAGCAAGTTATACGATCAATGACTGATGATTAGGCTGCCAGGCTGTGCTTCTTGATGAACTCGGTAATGTCGCCATCGAACTCCTGTACACCAGCTTTCGTTGACCGCCTGAGCCCACCTTGTAAGCGCAAGCCTCTAATCATCAAGGGCGGTCTCGACACCGAAAGCCCAAAATCGCCAAGATCCCGCCATCGGACCACCCGAAATGCCAGCAAGTCAGGACGCACCGATTGCATTTTGCACAATGACAATCAAGCCCATGATAAGTACGGCCTGGCAACATCATGATCATACACTGCTGGTCTTTTGTAGTATGCATATTCATGCTTTCATATTACAGTACATACAGTAGATACAACATAAACAATCAACCAAAACAAATCATACATTCAAATGAACCGAAAACATATTGCCTGCATACCATACATACCTTCAACCAACAAACATATATGCATGCATACACTCATGCATGCATGCTCGCATGAGTGCACATGTTCTTGCAGACATGCATGCATGTACGAATGCATACCTCCATGCCCGAATGCTTGCATGCTGTCTTGCCCGCTGCTATACCAATAATACATCGTTCAACCTTCTGCCGACCTCGAGGATGCGTGAGATGTTCTTGGCTTTGGGCACGAACGCTGCGAACCCCTCCTGCCGGCGGTATTCGATGGCAGCCTTTCGCCGGGGGCTTCGATCGACAGGTCCTTTGGAGATAGCGCCAATACGTTGTAGGGCATGAGCGAGACCTGGCGCAAGGAAGATTCCAGATGCGAACGACCTGGACTATACAGCTCGGTGAGCACATGCTGCTGGATGCCGTGCAAACGTCAGTTCTTGCAGTGGATAGCGGCGCAGCGCCCGACGTAAGGATGCCGGCAAAACTTCTCTGAGACCGTGCTCTGCCCATGCTGTCTCCTCTCACATCAGGAGATTCAGGTTGAAATGAAGCGTCAACGGCTGTAGGCGCGGCACCATGAGGCGAAATATCTGCAAAACGAGGGCATCCTGAACGGAGGCGTTGTTTGAACACGCAGCTTCTGCCACAAACAGCGCTCAAGTGGTCCTGCCTTCACAACTCCATGGGCATGCTGAGAATGACAGCTAATTACTCGCAGCCTGCCGCAGGTCGTCGCCCTTCTTCATGGCATACAGTCGGTGGCCGGTGTGCATGCTGTCTCCTGCGGTCTCGTACGAAACCGACAGCCGTTGAAATGCACTGCACCAAAGTGCCTTCATCAGCTTCAATCGCCTGGTATGCCAGCACCACCTTCAGACATGGGCAGTGCTTGGCCGTTCAGCAACACAAGTCCAGCTTGACAGAACTTCCTGAGTGTGCCGCAGGGGCTACAGCCGAGTTCGCCACGAAACACCTGACATGGATTCCGTGGTTGGCTTCTGGGTCTCAGGGCCAACATCTCGCAACCCTCCGGGCCGGAGCTGTGACGTGGCCGTACTAAGCCATCAACGAAGTCAAAGCCCGATGATAAATCGAGAAACCCTAAGCGAGTTGGCGCTGGGAAGCCTCCCGACGCTCGATCGGACACTCGTCATGTCATGCAAGACTTGCCGTGAGAAACGTTGCTCCGAGTAAGGTGCGTTATTCGCACCTTAGCCCATCACCCAAGCGAGAACTTGAAGAACCATCGCACTGGGATTTCTTTGGTTTCGCGATCGAAGCATAGGGAGTTCGAAACCTTCGGCCTCTTGGATCCTGAAGCCAAAAAGCCTAATCACCCGAGGCGCCGACCTCTTGGGCTCCAAAGCTCCAAGAGACTGCGCCGGGTCTACTGGCAGCTTCACTCCGCTGACATCCAGCAGTGTCAGGTCCTAGGCATGTTTAAGGGGGTTCCGAGGGTTCGTGGTTTTGGGTTTTCTGCTGCCGCACATGACAAGGCTTTGCTAGCATTGGCTCTGCGCTTCTTGGATTTCGTGCTCTTCTGAGTGTGGAGAGATGTAGATGTCTTTGAAACCGAAGTGCCTTTGCAAAGCAACACCACAGTTCAAGCATGGCTTCAGGCTGCAGCCTCCGGTCCGTGACACACACAGACAGACAGACAGACAGGCAGGCAGGCAGACAGGCAGGCAGGCAGGCAGGCAGGCAGGATGCAGGCAGGCAGGCAGGCAGGCAGGCAGACAGACACACACAAACAGACACACACACACACGCACACACACACGCATTGGCTTTGGCTACCTCAGGGATATGACCATGCGAGCTCTGTACCAAGAATGGCTAGTTTTGAAGCGACGGCGTCCGCCTAACTCCGGTCCGGTTCAGGGTAACCCCAACTCCAACCCGAGGTTAGGGTTCGGGTTGGCTCTAACCCCAAGCTACGAACCTGGGATTGGGGGGGTTCAGGTTTCAGCCAACCATCCCGCCAGTCCTGGTTTCCAAACTGCTGCAAGCTTGGGTCGTATCTCCACTCCTGCATCTTTCGCTTTCGAGGGCTTCTTATGTAAGACTAGGCTGATTTTTGATCTAACGCAGCGATAAATGGCAGGTTTCAGGCGCTGATCCCGCAAGAATGATGCTAAATTACAGCATAGCCTGCACTGCCAAAAGTGATTTCCCTTGGTCGCGATGCCTGCGCCATCTTTCCCGCATCAGGATCATACAGCGGGTTTCAAACATCGGATGTCGCATTTCGGAGCTGGCCGCCGGCCCGCCTCACGGATGATGTCCGGTCTGGGCTTCTGATTCTGCCGAAAGCAGCATGCAAAGCAGGGGCACCTGCCATGGCCGGGAAGTTCAGGGCGTCAGGTACAAGCTTCAATCGCGGTCTCGTGACTTAGAGGCTCAGATTGCATGGCGGAACAAAATCACGTCCCACAGCTGGATTGCGCTCAACTTGGGCTCCACTAGTCTGGGTGTCCTTACGAAGAGGGCATGCGCTGCGCAGCGAGTTTCATCGCCAAAAAGCAGGCAATGTCATCGACAAACCAAAAAGGCCCATCATGAGTCACTAATCGCGGCCTGAATCCCACCCTTACCCTCTTCTATTGCCGGACAATCTGATGAGCCCCGAAAACGTCAGCGTGAGCCTGGAAGCTGATTGTGGTGACCTGAAGACTTAATCACTCGCCTGTCCAGTATGTACTATCAATGCACCTGGAGGGGACCATCTCCTCCGACTCCAGCCGGCCTTCCTGCGAGGGCAACCTGACGGAGCCGGAGACTGGACTTCATGGGTTTACCTAAACTGTGCCCAAGGCCAACACTGCATCTACCTGTTTATCTATCTACCCATCTGTCTTCCTACCGATCCATCTAGGTACCTATCTTTCTTTACCTAGTACCTATCTATCTAGCTATCTACCAGTATCTAGCAGTTTAGCAGTCTATCCATCTAGCTAACAATCTATCTGCCTGTCGATCTGTCATAGAACAGCATGTCTCCATTTCCCTCGATGCTTCTCTCACATACACACGGACACGCACGCATTGCACATATATATATATATAGTTATACTTTTATGTATGTATGTATGTATGTGTATATGTATATGTATATATATATATATACACATAAATGCACATGAACAAACACAAGTCTGTGTTTAGTACTTATGCGCCGGAGTCGCGTCTATTTGGGCTTCGGTTCTCGTGGTGCTGATGTGGCCTTCTGGAATATTCGGCATGCTTTTCAAGTTTTGTTGGGTCTCCTCCTGTCCTATGCTGGCCTGAAGATCTCTCCTTTTCCCCGAAGCTCCTTGTCCCTCTGTCAGGCGGATCTCAGAACTAGTCCGCCTGCAAAGCTGACACCAAGCCCTGACCCAGATCAAGAAAACCCTCCACTGGCCCAAGAAATCCTAGTAATACTCCCCGAGGTGTGAATCTTCTGTGTTTAAGATTTACTTCTTATAGGCTTTAGTGCTTGGCAGTGTGGTGCAGGATCCCCGAACCCTAAACCCTGAACCCTCAACCCCTAAACCCTGAAATCCGAGACTCCTAGACCCTAAACCCTAAAACCCTAAACCCCAAACGCCTTGTGGTTTCTGAACCCCAAGCTGCTAGTTACATATGGTTTGGGTTTGGGGCTTAGGGTTTCGGGTTTTGGGTTTCGGACTTGGGGTTTCGGGTTTTGGGTTGCGGGTTTGGGATTTTGAGTTTGAGCTTTCGGTTTAAGGTTTCGGGTTTAGGGTTCCTTTTCCGCAGCATACCCGATGTGAGACCTGCTTAATAAGCTCCCGGCCACACACCCCAACAGCCTTCACATTTCCACCGGTTTGCATCATCAGCAGGAGGCCACCTTCAGCGCGGCATCTTGGTTATGCCGTCAGAGAAGCAGCGACGACGTTTGTTCGTTGTGCTCGAGTCGGCGTCGGCCTCCGTCAGCAAACAAGCGACCTCTGCATGGCCTTTTCGAGAAGCTAGCATAAGGGCGGTGGCACCATCACGGTTGGTTACATTCCAGTCGGCAGCCGCCGCCACCAGCAAGCGAACGACTTCCAGGTGGCCTTCTCGGGAAGCCACCATCAAAGCTGTGAAGCCCTCATTGCTGGTTGAGTTCTTGTCGGCGCCGCCCGCCAACAGCAACCGCACGACTTCTACGTGGCCTTCTTGAGAAGCTCCCACCAAAGCAGTAAAGCCCTCATTGTTGGCTAAGTTCCTGTCGGCACGGGCCTCCACCAGCGCACGCACGACTTCCACATGGCCTTCTTGGGAAGCTATCATCAAAGCTGTGCAGCCCTCATTGCTGGTTGAGTTCTTGTCGGCGCCGCCCGCCAACAGCAACCGCACGACTTCTACGTGGCCTTCTTGAGAAGCTCCCACCAAAGCAGTAAAGCCCTCATTGTTGGCTAAGTTCCTGTCGGCACGGGCCTCCACCAGCGCACGCACGACTTCCACATGGCCTTCTTGGGAAGCTATCATCAAAGCTGTGCAGCCCTCATTGCTGGTTGAGTTCTTGTCGGCGCCGCCCGCCAACAGCAACCGCACGACTTCTACGTGGCCTTCTTGAGAAGCTCCCACCAAAGCAGTAAAGCCCTCATTGTTGGCTAAGTTCCTGTCGGCACCGGCCTCCACCAGCGCACGCACGACTTCCACATGGCCTTCTTGGGAAGCTATCATCAAAGCTGTGAAGCCCTCATTGCTGGTTGAGTTCTTGTGGACACCGGCTGCCACCAGAAAACGCACCACTTCCACGTGACCACCAGCAGAACCTAGCATCAAAGCATTCAAGCCGTCATTGTTGGCTAAGTTCTTGTTGGCACCGGCCTCCAGCAGCAAGCGCGCGACTTCTACGTGGCCTTCTTGAGAAGCGAATATCAAAGCAGTGAAGCCGTCATTGTTGGCTAAGTTCCTGTCGGCACCGGCCTCCAGCAGTAAAGCCACGATTTCCGCGTGGCCTCTTGCAGATGCTTGCATCAGTGGAGTTGCGCCTTGCATATCGACCACGTCTGGGTGCCGGGGTTGCTGAAAATATCTTCAACCTGCTTGCTGGCTCACAATTGCGCTGTTGAGGTGCGGTGTAGGATTCCGGGTTTCAGACTCCATGGTGTTACGGCCACTTGTTTAGAGTTTCGGTGTTAGTTTGGGAGCACTTGAGGTTCATGGTCCGGTGGAATGTTCTGCCCAGACGAACCTTGGACATCGCACCATTCGCAGAGGCAGCCGCCAGCTCTTCAGCTTGGGTCTTTGAGGTCACGGAATATGGAAGCAGGACCAGCTCGAGTTCCATGGACGAGTCTAGGTGGACAGAGTCATCTAAAGAGCTGCCGCCGAGGAAAAGTCTCTGCCTGAATCGCACGGGCAAACCGTGCAAGCGATTCAATTGTTGCTTTAATGCCCTCGCATCGCTCAACTCCTCCACGGGCATGCGCGCCACCTCTTCGCCTGATAGCATCCTCACGCGAAGCATTAGTTGAACAGCTGATTGTCAAAACGTTCTCGCCGTGACAGAAACCGCCCGTGCAGGGCTCTCAGCGAACTGTGAATGGAAAGTGTGTGAATGTCTTGCTGTATCGCACGTAATGAACATGTCGTGTTGTTCTCTACACAGCAGACTAGTGAGCTTGAACTTGACGCCAATCGTTTCGCAGCAGGCGCATCTATTGACAGGCTTATGCAGCTAGAGATGGTGATGGCAACGCGTGCAACACCCCGCTAGGTGGTAGGACTAGTAGTAATAGCAATAGTAATAGTAGTCGTAGTCGCAGTAGTAGTAGCAGTAGCAGTAGCAGTAGCAGTAGCAGTAGCAGTAGCAGTAGGAGTAGGAGTAGCAGTAGCAGTAGCAGTAGCAGTAGTAGTAGTAGTAGTAGTAATAGTAGTAGTAGTACTAGTACTAGTACTAGTACTAGTACTGGTACTAGTGGTCGTGGTGATGGTGGTGGTAGTAGTAGCAGTTGTTGTTGCTGTTGTTGTCGTTGTTGTTGTAGGAGTAGTAGCAGCAACAACAGCAGCAGCAGCAGCAGCAGTAGCAGGAGCAGTCGCAGCAGCAGCGCGAGAGGTAGTGCTAGTAGTGGTAATGGTACCATAGCAGTGGCAGTTGCAGTAGTAGCGGTAGCAGCAGTAGTAGTAGTAGTAGTAGCAGTAGTAGTAGTAGTAGTAGTGGTAGTGGTAGTAGTAGTAGTAGTAGTAGTAGTAGTGGTGGTAGTAGTAGTAGTAGTTGTTGTAGTAGTAGTAGTAGTAGTAGTCGTGGTCACGAGCGGGAGCAATGCTCACCAATGCAGGCGTCAGAGTTGTCGGCGAGACCGTGCTCAGCAGCCTCGAACGGGGTGATTTCGACGCGATCATGGCGGCGGTCGAAAAGGAGCCGCAGTACCACGGCATTTCGGCCGAGGCTGTCCTTCGCAACATCCCCCGAGGCCTCTGCCTTCACCCTGAAGATCCTGACTGGCTTTCCTGCCGCTACTGCGAGCGCGGCGGCCGACGCTTGAAGTTCCCAAATGAGTTGGGAGTCACACACCACTTCATGCAATCCCGGCACGACCGATCAGTGCCCGAGCCACCAGGCCCCCCGCCTCGCAACAGTATGTGGTCGCAGCGCCCGGCCGAGCAAACCCTCCCTCAGCTGCAGCCATTGCAGCGTCAGGCCAGGCTCCGCCACCACCAGAACCCACGGCGGACCGTCCGCCCCAGTGGAGACCCACAGCGTCGGTGTCTAAGGCACGCTTTGGGCTCGGTCTCCCTCCCATTCCGCCAGGTCCTACCCCACAAGCGCAGGGCCACCGGCCTCTTGCAGCGAAAGAAGAACAGGGGGTCAATGACCAACCGGCGGACATCAAGGATGAGACACATGTCACTGCTGATCCCACGTTGGGATGGGCGGAAGACACTGTGGGCACGCCAGACACTCCGATGCTGCCGGTGGGCACACCGCAGTCACACAAGTCTGCTGGCCCTGGCCAGACAAGCGATCGGCCTTTCAACGCATTCTCAACCCAGAATGTGACTCCGACAGCTGCCCCCACCGAGGAGACCGTCCCACAGACCCCAGGCCCGGCTGACACCACAGCCTCATCCCCTGTGGATGCCCCCTCTACGCGTGCAGAGGTCAAATACCAGGGACCGGTCACCACGACCAAGCTGGTGGAGTACAGTGTCAACCCCTCTCCAGAGCAAGAGGCAAATCAACTGCCAAAGAGAGATCAGATTATCCACATCTGCCAGTCTGACCAGATGCTGGAGTGGGTCCATGCCTTTGCGACCATTTCCATTATGAAGGAGCAGGCTATCGTGGGTGGCCTCACGGCCTCTGAGCAGGTCTACCTTTGGACCAATAGGTTTCGAGCACTGGGCAAGGTGCCATGGATCTTCGCCCCGATCAAGAAGGTCGCCACCGACAAGGATGCCAACTGGCTTGACATCACGCAAGCGCGGCTTATGGTCGGGGCCAATGGCCAATTCACACTATCCATTGGCCAAGATGATCGCTACACCGAGCTCAAGTCCACCACGACCTACTATGGCATAGTGCACGCCCTTTTTCAGAAAATGTGGGATCATCCGGACATGAGCGCATTGCTCGAAACGGATGACAACTTCGAGATCGTGGCCTCCACCTTCAAGTGCATCTATGACCAGTCCTCCAGGAAAAGTGGTGGTCAAAATCGCGCCATCTTCTACCAGCCTCGGGATGGACACGTTGTCCGCAAGCTCCGCATCGAACACAACAAGGGCGACACGCCCACATACCAATGGCATCGCCAACGCGAGCTACGTGAGCAGCGGGAACAGCGAGACAAGCGCTCTGGTGAAGAGACACAGTCTCACACAGACAAGCGCTACAGAGACGGCGATGCCTGGACCCGAGGAGGGTGGTGGAATCGTGGCTCGGACTCGGGGGCCAGTGACAGCCGCTCCTGGCACCAGTGAGCCCCAACTTTGATCACCGGTGCCAATGGCAACCTATACAGCGAAATGCGGAGGCCATGCCTGCACTTATACTTCGTTTCTTCCGGCATGTACTGACGGCCTTTCTGCTGATTGCCGCCGCTTTCAGAGAAAAACATGCCTCGCCTTCTGCCAGTCGCAGAACTGTGCCTCTGCAACTAGTGCTGCATAATCACTATCCTCGCTCAGGTACACACAACAATCTGAAGCTTGAAGCCTGGCAGCCTACCAACTTGCTTCGGCTGACCACTGCCAGTTAGCTTGAAGCCTGTCGGCCGCCAACACCCAAAGGTCTTCGACCAGGGCTGTTCAGCTATAGGGTCTGAGTCAGTTTCACACCATGTGAGTGCACCGCGGCAATCGCCCGCTATGTGCTGAGCCCGCTCGCACAGCGTTCAATTGAATAGTAGTCGTGGTAGTAGTAGTAGTAGCAGTAGTAGTAGTAGTCGTAGTCGTAGTAGCAGGAGTAGTAGTAGTAGTAGTAGTAGTAGTAGTAGTAGTAGTAGTAGTAGTAGTCGTGATGGTGGTGGTGGTGGTGGTGGTGGTGGAAGTAGTAGTAGTAGTAGTAGTAGGAGTAGCAGCAGCAGTAATAATAGTAGTAGTAGTAGTAGTTGTTGTTGCTGCTTTAATAAGAGTAACAGTAATAGTAATAGTAATAGCAATAGCAATAGAAGTAGCAGCAGTAGTAGTCGTAGTAGTAGTAGTAGTCGTAGTCGTAGTCGTAGTCGTAGTCGTAGTAGTAGTAGTAGTAGTAGCGTGATGGTGGTGGTGGTGGTGGTGGTGTTGGTGATGGTGGTGGTGGTAGTGGATTTAGTAGTAGTAGTAGTAGTAGTAGTAGCAGCAGCAGCAGCAGTAGTACTAATAATAGTAGTGGTAGTTGTTGTTGCTGCTTTAATAAGAGTAATAGTAATAGTAGTAGCAATAGCAATAGAAGTAGTAGCAGTAGTAGCAGTAGTAGTAGTAGTAGTAGTAGTAGTAGTAGTCGTAGTAGTCGTCGTAGTGGTAGTGGCGGTGGTAGTGGTAGTAGTGGTAGTAGTGGTAGTAGTGGTAGTAGTTGTAGTTGTAGTAGTACCCACTTTGCGTCGCCCCCCCCCTCTTCTGGCCCAAACCCCCCTTTCCGGGCTGATAACCCAGACTTGGGCCACTTCCGGCGGGTTTCTGGCTCCCCATTTCTTTCGGGACCAGTCCGTGCCGGTCTCGGCCTTCGTTTCCACTTATAGTCCAGACTCTAGTTCAAGCCCCCTCTGGAACCTCCCGCGGAGGGGGCCGATGACGCTTGCGGAGGCCCCCCGAGATGCTGGGCGGGGAAGAGTGGTGGAGGCCGCGGCTACTGCTGCAGGTCGAACCCTACCTACCTACCTTGTAGTAGTAGTAGTAGTAGTAGTAGTAGTAGTAGTAGTAGTAGTAGTAGTAGTAGTAGAAGTAGTAGAAGTGGCAGTTAGTAGTAGTAGTAGCAGCAGAAGTAGTGGCAGTAGTAGTAGTAGTAGTAGTAGGAGTAGTAGCGGTATCTATACAGCTGCTTGAACCCTGCGTGATGATTTCGCAGTCTCATCGCTACTCGAAGCAGAACTTGAGACCTTAGGGGCACAGCGCCAGCAAGACACAAAGCCCTTCCGAGTTCCGAAATCACCACCAAATTGAAGCCCTGCTTTCAATGCAAAGATCCCCTCCTACTTTCCCACCCCTGGTCGGCCTGCAAAGGCTCACGGCAGAAGCGGAACGCTCCTCAGACGTTCGCACGACTCTGAGCCATAAGCATTGAACGGACCTGAAACTCGACGCTTGGGGCTTAGTGTTCTGGGTATAGTTGCAAAAATGTCAATGTGAAACTTGCAGACTTCACAGCCCTGCCGCCCTCCAGGGCCAAGTACCTGAAGCACACCCTTGTCATGGGCTGCTTGCAGATAGGGTGCTCTGGGAAACGATGACGGAGATCCTGACCCTTGGGTCTGGGTGTCGTCGCAGTCGCCCACGTCCGGTGCGAACAGGACCCTGCATGGATATGACACAATGCCTGCAGGGCCTACTAGGGCCCACATGAGTGGGGAGATAGCACTTTTGCTGTTGGTGGCCTGCAACGGAATCTCTCACTGATGTTTTGGGGCTAGATCGGGTTTCCACATTGCACCTTCAAACGAGCCTTCCACAGAGGCTGAGTCCAGTCCTGGGCTTCATGCACCCCCCTCTAAAGCACTGAGTCCCGGGCCGGCTCTTCTTGGGTCTGACCATGTCCTACCACAAGGAATTCGCTTGGTGGCTTTCCTTGGAGTTTCAACCCTGGGCTTGGTCGGCAGATTGGTTGCAGGCTTCTACGACTAGGGTGGAGGTTGAAGCTCAAGGTCAAGCCAACTCCCAATCCCTTTCGAATGCCTTATGTGACTTCAAGGCCTATTGATGGGTATGGTTCGAGTTGATCTAGGGTGCATCAACAAGAAATCAAGCTCTGTCGAAAAGCAACAGACTCGTTTACCAATAAAGGGCAGGACCCTGCAGACTGTATCACTGTAAAACAAGATCACGCTTGAAAGGACGCCGTGAAGACATCGGGGCGCCAGGTTCGATGAAGCTCTGGATGCCACCGGTGCAACATCTGCACGGAAACAAGGCAAATCCTATCCTTGAGCTTGGACACTAAGTGTCAATGCGGCACCTTCCCAATTCTACACAGCTCAACGTGCACAGCTGAACGACACCATGGCGCACCTCTCGCTGCACCTCCTGCAACCTTAAAGGCCCAAACCAAAGCCTCGACCCTAACCCCTAAACCCCTGAAGCTGTAAAGCTCTAAGCCCCTTTGGCACCCCATGGGACCCCTTGGGGAAGTGCCTCATCCTCGAGGGACTCAGAGCGTGTGCGGCTCCGATCGAGTTCCCGCGAGCTTTCCTCTTGGACTCTGCTGAGCTGAGGGCTCCTTCCATGGATTCATAAGCTGCCAGCAAGGATAAGCTAAGGGGTTTAGGGTCGACAGGGCTTCCGTGCAGGCACATTGACATAGCCGACACGGACCGGATCGAGCTGATCGAGCTGCTCATGCGCTATGCAGTGCAAGGATCGACATGGATTCGGTGCTGCGGGGTTGCACGAGCTCGTCTTCAAGGTGGAATCCCTAGTCCTGGCCAGTGGAAACGAAGATCCTGGTGAATTGCTGGTGTAGTCTCAAGTATGTCATAGGACATAGGACATACATAGGACCATAGGACCTTCATCCTGTACATAGACTAGGATAGATCGGCCTGTCCCGTCGCGTAGAGTCGGTGGGAATCTCCGTCGGAGCGGCCAGAACATCCAAGCTGGCCTAAGCTGCACTGACTTGGGGTTTAGGGCACCTAGGCTTGTTGAATCGTTTATGGTGTATTTGTGGACGCCGTTTCCCACTCGCCCCTGGGAGTTCAGAATCCTCGGAAGTCCGTGTAGCAACCCTTGGCGACTACTTCATCTGACCTTCCGGTACTCGATCAGCCGCCGTCACGGTCCATGAAACTGTTGAGCAGCGCTAACCCCAAATCAGTCTGCACCCCAAGCCTACTTGAGTTCCCAAACTTCTCAACCCACATGCCCAGCTGCCAAGTCTCTAAGCTTCGAGGCCTCCTATTCGGAAGGTAACATAGTAGGACCAACTAAGACCACGGCGGAGGGGCGCAGCCGCCGGCCCTGGGTACCCATGGGAGCCTGGTGCAAAGTTCAAAGTCCAAGCGACTCTGCCAAAGCAGAAGATACAGGGTCCCCCTAGCAGGCTCGGCTTCCCTTCCCGACCTTGCCTGATCTGCTTCGCGCCGCACCCTCCTGTTCACGCAGCTTGAATGGGCAATCGTATGAGGTTTTTGAGTTTCAGAATACTGTCTGACTCTGTCAGACTTCGTCCCTCCGATTTAATCTTGAGTCGAGCACGGGGAACGAGTCAAACTACATAGTCAGCAACGCTGTAAACAGCACTCAACTTCAGGAACTCAGACAATGCCGGAACCAGCCTCTGATTGAGCAGGGTAAGCTGCTGACGCAGAGCCTTGCAGCCCAACTCACTAACAGCTAAAGAAGTTGAAGCCAGGCACGCCGACGCTGGTGCAAAGGTGCGCCGGATTGAGGGAGGATCCTATACACGAAAATGCAGACAGGGTCGAAAGCGCTAAGAGAGGTTTTGGCTGGTTTTGCGCAGGCACGTGTATGTCACTACAAGCTGCATGTAATCGCCATCCCAAGTCATTGAGAGCTGGGCAGAGTTTCTGCCCACGTTGCCGCCGGCCGCAGCTTGCACCGTCCTCCGGACAGGTCTTCGGATTCATGGGCGAGAATGCCAGGGGACCTAGGGGCATTTCGCAACCCCTTACGTGTTCGATGCACCAGTCTCGTGAGAATCCCCAGTGCTGGAGCCCCGTTCCACCGTGTGACAGGTGTTCCTGCAAAGAACGCGCATCTGGTAGCAGAGTCTTCGCCTGGGAAGCCACGAATACTTCTGGAACTGCTGCTACAACGGCCTTTGTGTCACACTGGCTCCACAGCACAAATGTCTTGCATCTCATCTGGCGCGATTGTAGGATATGTCGAAGACTCAGAGCCGAACTGATCTGCAATCATTGCAAGGGCCTGGGCTTAGAGCTTCACATGCTTTCTGTCTCAGATTGTGTGACTTAACTGTCCATGTTGCGAGCCTTCTCGCAAAAAACCGCGTCGTACTGCCTCGTCCGGAAGGACATGTCAACACAGGCCTGGTTCCTTCTTGCACAGCTACTTGTGGGGATCTCGAGATCCTGATCCATATCTATGATACAATGTGCAGTCGCCACGCTGGTGAACACGCAACCACGGTACCTGCCGTTGAAGTCGCTCTGCATCAGTGCGTGCAGGAGACGAATCCGCACTTCGCGGTACCTCGCGGGGCTCGAACTCTCCTCCCTTTCGTTGCACGAGCTATTGTGGTTCCTTTCGGGCAAAGCTTTGATAAGGCATGTCACAGCGGCTGCAGCAGGCGAGTTGCGCGGGGCTGATCTTTGTGGCCCACTGGAGATGAACAAATTTGCTCCGAACGACCAGTGTCTAGGGGGGGGGTGTTTTTCTGACTCTCTACCCAGGCTTGTCGGGTGTGCAAATCAGCAAAACGACTCCTGCTTCAGCTTGTCCCAGCTTGAATCGGGAGGGTTGCATGGGATTACTACATTTGGAGGGCTCTGATGTAGTGGTTCTTGAATACATGTCATAAGGATTTATGCACGGCGTTGAAGTACGTTTCCATCGACACATAAGCCGATCCTACCTTTCATCTGTTCAGCCAGCATGCAGTAACATGGCCCCAAAGGCACCCTCCAAAACCTGAACATGCAAATACATGTACAGCCAACAAAACACGAGCGAAGTCTCGCCTATGCTAGGCCAAAAGTAACATTGCACACAGCAACGCTGGTGGTGGCCGTCGAAAGCCGGACGCGAGTGCTTGTTGAGCTCTTTTCGGAACGTCAGGCAGCAGGACTTGGGTCATGTGCACTGGGATTGGCGACAATTGCTGCGTATTTCAAAGCAGCACCCACAGTATGTGTCATCGGCAATAAATGCAAGATGAAGGTTCTGCAATGCCCTGCATATTCTACTCGCCTTCCATAATCTGTACTATCGAACACATGCTGGTCTAAGCCTCCTAAGCTACAGCCAGTGCCTGCCTCCAGCTGCAATTCATAAAGATGAACCTACTTGCCGCGAATGGTTAGCATGCTACGCTGCACTAATGTCCACGCCGGAGCGAAAAAGCCTTGCCAGTATGGCGCCGACACGATCAAAGCTCAGCTCGAGAGAAGAGGTCTGATCGATCTGCCTGAATGTCAGCTCTGTCAGCTCAATTTCCAAGGGCTCAAGAATCCGGCATGTTCCGCAGGACTTGGGGTGCGTTGTCAGGCCACTGTCAAATCAAAGAGTTGCTCTAAGGAAGTGTCGTCCATCGACTGACGTCTTAGATCATTGCTGTGCCTCCATCAGACACATGCTGCCTACTATTGAAGAGTGTTACTGCGCGAGCACCTATGCATTAGTGGAACACGGGTCGCCTCAAAGCGGCTTTCATCAAAGTCGGGGCGCGATCGCTGCGGCCTGGATGGGAGTCGAAAGTGATGAATTTTGGGATTGATCTTGTGCCACTGGCCACTGGTCAGGGTAGCATACTTGGAGACATCGGGGTTGGACCAGTGAGCGGCGTTGTCCTGCTCGAAAGCCTAACTATCACGGCTAGAATCAGTACTGCCGGTTCTGCTCCCAAGTGTTGCTCAGGAGACAGAAGCACAATGATAATGACACCACCGGCAACAACGACGACAATGACAACCGCCATCATTGAAAACGATAGCAGCGACGGCAGTCACAATCACAAATGCGATGGCTCGTCGACGACCTGAGACTCAATGCTGATGATTTTGTTGCAAATCGTCGCGGTTGTGAAATGATGAACATGGTTGTTACATCAGGAAGTTTGTTAGTTTGGCCTCTCAACGGGATGCCTCCTCGATCGAGATTGGCTCTTGTCGAAGTTGGATCTTGGTTCGTCATCATAGTTCCTTAGTCTTGGCCATACCTACTCGACATGAAAGCCAACAAAAACATCTGAGAGGTAAAGCAGCACACTTTACCCGTCGATTGCCAAGCTTCTGCTTGCGGAAGCTCCGCTTCTTCTGGAAATTCCGCTTCTTGAACTTGTTCTGGCTACCTAACTGTACAGACTCAAGACAGGGGATCCTTCACAGAGGCTGGTTTGGAAGTTTGTCATCAAAAGTGCAACTGCAAAAACATGCTTATACGCTCGTCTTACGTGCTACGCTCCTACTGAGATGCTTGCAGGATGTAGCCTAAGGCTTTGGCTCGGGCCACTCCAGTTGCTTCGAAACCTGCCAAACAGGAAAGGCTTCACTGTAATCCGGTCGGACGCAACATGAAGTTCTCTCGTTCATGTTTCCTCAGTTCCGGGTTCGATAAATCCGAAACAGGCTTTGGGAACTCCTTTGTAGCTGAGGGCCCTACATCCGAGAGTCAGTCCCAAACATTTGAAGGCAACACAGGGCTTTTACGGCACTCACGGGGGTTGGGAATCCATCGCATGGATGGATGCTGCGGTGCAGGACCAAAGCGGGAGTGCACAGCACTTTTCCGATGTGTCCTCTTCTTCTTTGGAGGTCGAAGCCATGCCAGAGCTCGCGCCTGACCGGTCGGGGGTCTTGGGTTGTTCGCACTTTTTCTCCAATGAACCAGACAGACAAAACTTGCGATGCTGTGACTACCCTCCTGCCTGATCACTGAAGGGCCACTGTTCCAGAAACTCTTTGTACCTGACATCGAAAAACTCAAAGTCAAGTCCTTCGCCCTTAGAGTTTGGTATCACCTACGGTTTCTCACACTGACGCTCCTGCCCTCCTTCGACACCATCATGGGCGCACTCGGCAGGCTTTGCGCCGATCTTCTTGCAAAATGCGGCCTGGCTAAGGGCGGGAAAGGGTAAGCTCGCCTGACAGCTCGCAAGTAGCCGGTTGAATTCGACGACGAAACACCGCCGCCAAGGCACAAGAATAAACCGATACAATTGCCAGCCGGGTCGACATCAGAGCCACCGACCTTGTCTTCCAAACTCAAGCCTCGATGTAGCAGGGACGGTCGTGATCGTGCAATCTCTCTTCTTCCACACAGACAAGAGACTACCTCTCCGCACTCATGTCCGCACTGGTCAACCAGGTCTGAGGTGCAGTCTCTCCGTCCGTCTCTCTCCTTTTTATTTTCTCTCTCTCTCTCTCTCTCTCTCTGTCTGTATATCTGTATATATATATATATATATAATGTACATATATATATACATATTAAGTAATATACTACATACAAGACCTCAACAGGAGAAAAGCTCGTCCCTTTTCACTCGCGCTGCCGGCGCGGCTGCTTCACGTCCTGCATGGCCTCTGACAGCCCGCAATCCATCCAACATATAGGATGGTGTGAACCGGAGCGAGGCATCATGAGCTGCGACAACCATCAGCGTGAAAACCATCAACCATCAGAAGCACCAAGCACTGAACAACATAAGCCGGGTCTAGCCCTAGGAACTGGCGAAGAATGTTCTGGGAAGAACAATGGAACCTAATGCCTTGCAGCTACTTGCTCGAATGTCGCCCTCGTCCTAGTTCTGCTCATATCAAGAAAAATACGAGGAACAAAAACAGCAGGAGCGGGGGTAGAAACTACGCCATGACCAACACTACCCGGCTTTGATTGATGTAAAGCCCTGCACGGCAATCCATCCGACGCAGCTCACGGGGCCTGCCTTTCAAGCTCCTCCGTCTCCTCGTCGGCCATCCCTTTACTCGGGAAGGAGTCGGGAAAAAGATGCCAAAGCCTGTCGACCTGCTAGCTTCAGTCCCAGAAAACTCATTCCAAGGCCTGTATGAAACTCCTTTCAATGTCGCTTCCGGCACCCTTTCGCTCCCTTCCCTTGCCGAGTTCAGTCTCGACGTCCAGCATCATCGGGAGGGCGGCCACCGAGCCGCCTCTGCTTGGGGAATAGGCCTCAGACAGGCTGGGCAAGGCCGGCTTGAGTGGCTTCTGATTCTGGCATCACAGACCCCGACGCCCTAAGCCCGGAAACCCGTCTGGGACTCCGGGCCTGCCGCATGTCGGTGCCGACGGATGATGTAAGCCTCCTGGTTCTAGGATGCCAGCTTCACAGCATCGCGTTTGACTCCTGCAGGCTGCCACAACTTGTTGCTCGGGCGCTTTGGGACTGCATGTTGCGAGGCAAGCTCCTGGAAACAAGATCGGGGTGCTCTCCACCCACTGTGCATAACCGTCGCAGTTCTTGTACCGGTGGTCGGCCTCCTGACATGCGTGACGGACACTTCGCAAGCCGAACTGAAATCTCCGCTTCATCTCGGTGAGCCTTGTCAGAACGTGCAGCTGAGTTGTGAAGCGTGAAGGCCATGAAGAAGGTTGGAAAAACCTGCTTACTCTCCGCCGATCCGGCTCTAGGTGACCAGGGTTGGGGATCACTGTCTATCTCTGAGGTCTCAGCGCAGGCTGCAACCTGAATTGGAGTTCCACACAGACCCATGCACCTCAATCGGCTGTCAGGTTTTGGCTACAAGCAGAATCGACATGTTTCGAGGCTGCCATAGCAGCTAAGGGGCGAAATCCCACAATGGAAGATGAACTCGCCGAGATAATTCGGATGCCTTCCACACAGGACGGAAACCCGCGTTTGCCTAACAGGCTCTACGTGGTCTCAGCCCCCAGCCCGCCTGCAGTAACCTTGGCTGCAATCAAGCGAAAAGCCAACCGCAGATTGAAAGGATCCTCATGGTCATTGGTGAGCCTTGGAGGTAATAATGCTTCTGTCTCGTCTAGAGTCCAGAGGATTGCCATTTTGTACACTTTTGTACACGGAAAATCACCATGCGCAACGTCGTGTGCATAATCCCACTGCGTAATTAATCAGCGGAGAACAGTGCCGAGTCACATCGGGCAATGCAAACTAACTGAGTGTGTGCGTGTGTGCGTGTGTGCGTGTGTGGGTGTGCGTGTGTGTGTGTGTGTGTGCGCGGGTGTGTGTGTGTGTGTGTGCGTGTGTGTGTGTGTGTGTGTGTGTGTGTGTGTGTGTGTGTGGTGTGTGTGTGTGTGTGTGTGTGGTGTGGGTGCGTGGGTGCGTGCGTGCGTGCGTGCGTGCGTGCGTGTGCGTGTGCGTGTGCGTGTGCGTGCGTGTGTGTGTGTGTGTGTGTGTGTGTGTGTGTGTGTGTGTGTGTTCGAGAGCGATGCCCCGAAACACCCAGGGAGTTTGCCTGCAACGAAGCAGGAGAATTTTGCAACAACAATCAACATCACCTTGCATCACACCCTCCCTGCCAGTCTGTGTTTGTGGA